GTTTGATTTTCAGACCACACTAGTAATAATAGTTTTTAAAAATTTAGACCGGATCAGGTCATTTGTAAGATGAGACCGGGCAGGACAAGATCGTTTACAAATTGTTCAGTCTGGTTAAACCGCAGTTTTAACAGTTAGTATCTGTTTTTCTTTTTTCTTTTTTTTAAAATAGCAAAATCATATGTTACATATGTTGGTTTTGAAAACGATTTTCTATGCGGAGGCGCGTATCTAGCGGATCGTGTATAACAAAAATATTTAATAAACTTTTGAGATACTTAGCGAATGATTAAGTCGATAACTTAAGTTTTTTGACCACGAACGTTCCTCGCTCCAAGCTTGTTTAGAGTACCTGAATCTTCCTCGTCAATTCTTTGAATCTACAAAGACGTGTGTGTGGACACACCTAAAACAAAACGGGATTAGCAATTAAACACTCAAGTTTTTCACAAATATCAACACATGCACGACGTGAAATTGGGGAGAAAATTTTCCTCTTCCTCACTCTATAAATTTCGGCCACTTATGCTAGGGAGAGAAAAAATTGTGTTCTCCAATTTTTTGCAATATCTATTTATAGAGTAGTTGTCAGACTCCCAAAAGGAGTCTAAACTTTATCTCTAAAATGAAGCTTGATAATTATCTCCCACTTCTATTTTATTTTGGAAACAAAATCCCCTCTCTCTTATCCTATAGGGCCGGCCACCACAATGAAATACACCCCTGTGGTTGGCACAAATTACAGATAGGGAAGGAGGAAAAATTCTCCTTTATCTTGCAGTCCAATTTTGACTCAAATTCAAATTTCAATTAAAGTCCAACTTAATTTAATTTGAATTTCAATTGAAAAACTTATCAAATAAGTCAATTGGATAACTTAGAAAGTAAGCAATTAAATCCCATAGGGATTCTCACAGTGCTGGGCGTGTACACCATGTGGACTCTTTCACATGTGTGTTTCAAAATTCATATTTAAATAATAACATTATTTAATTTATAATTAATTCTCAATTAATTATTCTTGAGCGTTCTATTTAGAATTCCATAATTCTAAAATTCTCATTTTGCCCTTAGTGTCTTGTAGAATTACAAGGACGATGGGGGGACTCATGAACCTTAATTCTGAGCACTAATAAAATTAATAATTAATTAAAACTTTTTAATTATTTAATTAATTCTATTAATTCTAAAAGTTACTCCACCATAAGCTTGAAATTGCACTCTCGTAATTATAGATATAATTTACTTCTAAACTGCAAAGTGTTCATTTGATATAACCATTACATATAGATCAATCCTCCACAAATAATTCATAATTAGAGCTAGGTGAAATTCGTTAACCTCACTAATTACATCTTTATCCTTGGGTACCATTGATTTTCTAATGGACAGGGACTTATAAAACAAATTCATGAATCGAAGCTCCTACAAATCTAAGTACTGAATTAATCTTCAAGAGAATTATTTATCTGCTTCTTTCTTAAGAAAGAATGGATTCTATCTCGTATATTAACATTCTCGGCTACTTACTTCATCATATCTCCAAAATACAAGGAATAATATTCAACGTATCAGAATCCGTACCGAGTGAATAAAAAAACACAAATTCATAAATAAGAGTATGCTAATAATTCATGATTAAGATCATTCTATATATAACCATTGGTAGTCTTAATTAGAATTTCTATATTTAGCAGAAATTATCAAAATTTCATATTGTGTCTGTGTCTCAGTTCCACACAATCTCATCATGCGTAATACACTTATTCAATATCTCATTATATTGACAGTGCGGATAACACCATCCATTTTAAATGAGAATGACATGTATTAGTAATGTTTTAATTAAAAATTCTGAACTTTAATTAAAGTCATTACGAACATTGTTTTGATTATTATCTTTAAATATTATCCTCTCGTATATAACACTTATTCATATAAATAATCATGAAATTTTCAATAATATTCATAAAATATTCAATAATATGTGCACATAAAATAATGAATAAACTCTTTTATTAAATAAATAATAAAGATCTTATTATATCTCATGCGTTTAGGACACAATTCCTAACAACATAATGCATATCATCTTCTAAAATTAGTATCGTAAAAGTTACAAATAACAATAATGTAGTTCTAAGCAAAAGTCCATAACTATTAACAAAGTCCATAACTATTAACCAACGACATGCAATTCAAAGCAAAAGTCCATAACTATTAACCAACGACATGCAATTCAAAGCAAAAGTCCATAACTATTAACCAACGACATGCAATTCAAAGCAAAAGTCCATAACTATTAACCAACGACATGCAATTCAAAGCAAAAGTCCATAACCAGTAATATTACAGTCATCAAAAACCAAAAAGTAACAAATAATAATAATATGCAATCCAAAACAAAAGTCCACAAAGGTTGGATGGGTGCAAACGGAAGGAGTCAAAACTACATAGTTTGATAAAAATGCTCAAAGGCTTTCTTTTCATTTTTATTTTTTTGAATATATATGCTCAAAGGCTTTATTATTTTTTTGAATAATAAAAATGGTATGCTCCGATTTTAAACCGTTTCTAAATAGTTCCTACATGGAATCGGACCGGCGGTCTAATACTGTCCTCCGATTTGAACCAGACCGTGCGCAGCCTTAAGTAACAGATTTGAGGGTGGCAATTAAAATAAATAGTAAATATTAAAATTTTTTTAGTAAATATTAGAAAAGTTTTGATTAATATGTTAATACACTACATTGCTGAAAATGCCCTTAAAACCTTCCAAATATGACATCTCACATATTCTTTCTTTTCTCACTTCTTTTCTCTCTCTCTCTTCTAGTGACTCTCTCTCCCCTCATCCTCTCTCTCTCCTCCACATCTCTATAGTCGCTCTTTCTTTCTCTATCGCCCTCTCTCCGCTGCCTTTGCTCTCGCTTGCCTTCTTCCCTCTGCCGCCCTCCCTCTTTCTCTCTTTCCCCTTGTGATTTGCAGATCTCCCACATGTCAGCACCATTGTAAACTTTAATAGTCCAGCGTCGCGTCGATTCTACCGTAATTGAGTTCACGATTCCGACAGTCGCTTCCCCCCCCCCCTCTCTCTCTCTCTCTTCCCTTGCGGTCTGCACGATCTTCCACATGTCGGCACCATTGCAAGCTTTAATACTATAGTGTCACGTCAAGTCTACCGTCACTGGTTTCACGATTCAGGCAGGTTGTTTGTGAACTAGAGGAGAGAGGGGGGAAAATAAGAGGAAGGAGAGAGAGTGTAATGACCCGCACATCCGCTTGGTATGATATTGTTCATTTTAGACATGAGCCAGCACAATTTACTTTTAGGCTTTACCCTAAAAGGTCTCACATCATTGGAAGGTAGTGTCCGTCCTTATAACTAGGACCTATCTCAATTATCATGCGATGTGGGACTGTACAGCTTATCCTTTCTTTGTCTTGTGCTTCAAGGGATTAATAATTGTCACAAAGAGGTATTTCTTTTTGGATTTTTTAAAATTGTTTTTCAAGATCTAATATTTCTTTCATTTAATTACCTAATGTGGCATTTAATTAAAAGATGTTATTCTCTAGTATTTATATTCTTTTAAAAGGGATACTCTTAATTCACATGTTAGACATGTCTTTTGGGCTCAAAGCCCTATAAGCTCATGGACGATAAAGCCCATTACTATTTCTGCATTACACTTGTGATCTATTTGATTTGTGGATTTAAATCACAATTCATATGTTTTTTCTTTTATTTTACGGAGTTTTCTCTCATAAAAAATTTGAGAATTTTTTTCAACCTTAGAAACAACCGAACGATTAATTTACCTAGACACATTTCTTCTTTATTTTTAAACAATTACACTTTTTAATAAGAAAAATACAATTTGGCCCAACATTACCATTTGAAAAAGGCTAGTTCAAACTTTATTCATGATATCTTCTCAGAAAACTTCAATATTGTGCCAACTCAATATTGTGCCAACTCGTTGTTTCTCTCTTGCTCTGAAAAAAAAAATACATGTAGAGAACTTTTTTTACTCTTTAGCCCGTTTAGTTCGTTTATCTGAATTTTTAATTCGAATTGAGATGTGTCTTTATGTGAGAGCTTTTTACTGTAACAAAAAAGTTAAGAGGATGTTTGGTTGGAGGATTTAAACCATGATTTGAATCATGGTTCATGGTTCGTTACAGTATTTTCTCTCACAAAAAATACACGTAAATCAAAAATGGTTCTAATCACATGATTCTAATCCATGAACCAAATGTCTCCTAAATGTGACTGTTTCTGAGAGTATTTTATTGTAACAAAACTCGAATCGATAAAATGAACAAGACATTTATCTCTCTATCTCTTTTATTAATATTGCCTCTTTTTTTTTTAAGCATTAGAAAGTGAATTAGAAAAAGGATATGCCTTTTTTCCTTTCCTAGGTAATGTTTTCCAAATCATCCTATATAAGTAGTATATTCCAATACTAACCTTCCAAAACTAGTATACCTCTTACTCACCCATGGACTCGCGTCTTTGGCCAAAACCTTATGAGAAATTAACATGCCCCTTAACTCGTCTTTTAGTTTTGTATACTTTTTGAATAAACTTAAAATGCAGGGTACGAAAAGGTAAATAACCCAAAACGGAAACATTCATAAAGGAATTCCAAATCAATTTTGAATGAAAGAAAAGTTAGTAGAACGCCAAGGGGTTGTTCTTTTACAACAAAACTCAAAAAAAAGTTTAAACTCAATTACAACTTTATTCAAGTTCACGTTCTTTTAAGTTTCAACTTTATTCAACTTTATTCAAGTTACAACTTTTAACTCAAGTTATAACTCAAATTCAACTCAAAAACTACACTCAAGTTACACTCCAAAAGAACAACCCCTTAATTACCTAGAAAGGTAAATATCAACAGAATAACAGATTAACCGTGTATGGCGTGAACTGTTGGGGTATTTGATACCATATCATGCGTCTACTATACGATGAGAAAACCTAAATGAAATTTGCAAAAACATAATTTATCACATTAACAAAAATCCATTGCCAAGAATTTGATGCATAAGTTTTCTTTAACTCAAAGAAAAGAGACGCTAAGATTAAGTATCAAAAAATAGGAAAGACAAAAAGAACAAAGTCTTTGCTCATCCAAAAGTTACATAAACAGAACGACCAAAACTGTCACCAGTCCTATTTCTACCTTAAGCCACAAGAGTGCTGGCGGTAGTAGATTCACTGCAATAAGAGAGAAGAAAATAGTAAGCCTCTAGAGACAATAAAGCAAGCAGTATCTCTCTCCACTACTGTAATCCTTAACATTTCAAAACTAACTAGAGTATTGGAAAAAACATATTCACATTGAAAATATAGACTTTAGACCAGATATTCACAATGAAACAAAGCAAACACTCACTATTTCCACACTGGTGGAAGCTTCTTTGTCTTCTTGTAGTAGCGAGCTAGGCGATGGATCCTGCTCTCAACCAGAATCAACCTAAACTTGGAATCTTTGTCCTTCCTGTTCCTCTCCAAATGCTTCCTAATTGAGACAGCCTTCTTGATGAGATGGTACAGATCCTCGGGTATCTCGGGAGCAAGACCTGAATACAGCGTAAAATGGAAAAAAAAAAAAGATTCAATACACAGTCATTAGTCTTAAATTTAAACCACCATATGGAAAGCGTAGGAACAAGAAATACACCATGAGCCTTCAGGATACGCAATATCTTGCTCCCTGTGTCGCTCTTCACTTGGGCAATGCCGTGAGAATCACGAAGGATGACACCAATTTGAGAGGGAGTCAAACCCTTCTTGGCAAACTTGCAGATGTTCTCATCAACCTGAAAGGAGGAATCCAATCCAAAGTTCATAACTAAACCACAGTAATTGAAAACTTAATTTAATTGCAGTCGCAATAGAGTCTTAATGCGGGCCTTGAACATTTAAGTAAAAGATCAAGATAAAACCGGCAAGAGTAAGTTTCCAACCAAAAATCTCTAGGAATATCTGACGGATTTATCATTTATCATAATCTTCCATTTCCAACAAAGAGAGTAATATGCTTGGTACTAGTATACAGTAATTTAAGCTATGTCATAGACAGGCATGCAAATGATTCTCCTGCCTTCGATATAATTTTCACAGAAACAGGAAAAATCAATGCATGTAGGACTAAATAAAATCTAAAGGGAAGCTAAGATTTGAAGTAATCATTCATCCAATTAAACGAAAGAGGAATTAACTAATGCCGAAGCAATGATCTGACGGATTAATCGTAATTTGCCAGTTTACGCACAGCTACAAGAAGACAGCAATTTAGCTATCTCATAAACAGGCAGGAGGCATGTAATTGATTCTTCAGCCTCCAGTATAATATTGGCGTAAGTGCTAAAAAAGCAATGCATGTAGGACTGAATAAAATCTAAAGGGCGCCTAAAATTTGACATAACAAAATCACTGACCAAAGTTAAGCCAAAAGAATTTGAATACCAAATGCCAGTTATGATAAAAACAAATGAAGCAACAGCTCACATAAACCAAATTAAAGAATATAAAAAACCCCCCAATCAAATGAAAAAACAAAAACAAAAAACAAAACAAAACTTCCAAATCGAATCAAGAGACAAATGCACCAAAAAAATAATAACACCCCACCACTTATGATCTAGTAAAGGTTCCTAAACGGAAAAAAAATATATAAATTTCAAAACTTTCTCTAAGACTCAAATAGTAAAAAGCTATTAGAGTTCGGGATAAGGAGAAACTCACATCCTGGGAAGAGATCTTCAACCAGCTCGGAGGAGTCCTCTTGTACGGAAGAGCTGAAGCAGAAATTCCCTTACTGAGCGAAAAAACAAAGCGATTAAAGTCAGAAAAATCGAAGCTTTGTAGAAATCTTGATTGTAGTCTAGGGATAGTTTAATGGGAGAAAGATCGTGCGAACCCTCGACTGTGCATGCGACCCATGGCGACGGCCTGGCTGTCTCTGTGCCTCTGTTGGTTGCCCTAGCTAGCTTCGCCTCTCCGCTTCTGCTCTGAGAATCCCTAACCTATCTATGATGGAGAAGGAGATGGAGGCTCAGAACGCTAGGGTTTTAAGAAAAGTTTTGGCTATTTGCATTGGCGTCCTTGGGCTTTTCCACTTACTTTTTGGGCTTCGAGGGCTGATTATTGGGCTTCCACTTGGCCCAGTAACTCCGAAGCGAAGTGTTTGACATCATGCACTGACTATCGGCCCTATATGTGGCCCAATATAAGTTGGGTATGCCCGGGGAAAATAGTAGAAAATAGGCCAATATGAAAAGTTTAAGAAAGTATATAGGCTAATTTTTAGTTATAAAAATTAATAGGTCATAACTTGTTAAGTTATGGCCCATAACCAGATAAGTTATAGACAAACTTGTTAAGTTATGGTTCATAGCCAGATAAATTATGGATAAAAACCATAAATAACTTGTCAAGTTATGGTTCATAACCAGACAAGTTATGAACAAAAACAGTAATTTGGCCTATTTATTAACTTATGTAAATTATTGGCCTATTAATTTTAATTCATCTCAAGTCTTGGCCTATTTTTATCTTTTTACATGGGTCAAGATTTTTACTCTTTATCTCTTAATTTATAATCTTTTTAATTAAATAATTATACTAATAAAAGGGTATTTATTAAGAGTAAGGAGTAAAAATCTAGACTCATGCACTATTAAGAGTAAATTTTGTAATTTTCTTGAAATAAAAAGGAGTTAATTACATATATGTTTATTTTTCAATGGATGAAAAAATATGTCTATAAGTTGTGATATTTACATATAAGTCTATAAATTAATACGTAATCACATTTTTATCCTTTATTAAATACTTTTAAAATTAATTATATCAATTCATAACCACCCACATAAATAAGGGTATATTGAGAATGATCATTTTGTATAAAGACTTCTTCAAAATAAGGTCTAATCAGGCCCAAATCGCACGTGGATCACCCATTGTCAAACTGCATCACTCGTCATGTACAATAAGCGGCACTAGTTTGGGTTCTTTTCACATCTGTAAGGTTTGTTTGTTTTATATACTCAAATTTAAATTATTAATTATTTTACATATTTAAATTTAAATTATTGATTTTATTATGGTATTTTTTACTCATAAAAAATTTAAACTTTAAATGTCAGAATCAATAATCATCATTTAAGCCTTATTCTACAAAAGCGAAATGTCTTGCCCGCGAAGGTGCAAACCATTTGGTATGTACCCCTTGGTGAGTGAGAGAATAAAAAAACAATAACGAGAAAATACGTATATTTAATTAATCATCAAAGTATGTACTAAAAATAAACACCGGGACACTTACTAAAACTAATAAAATAAACAACTAAATTTTAAATAATCCTAAGACATAAAAATAAACGAATTCTAAAACGTAAATATAACTTTAAATTAAAAAAATATTAAAATTATCTAATTATATTCCTTATGAAAGATATTGTTAAAAATGTGTGTAGATAATGTGTTGCGTTGTGTCTAGAATTTGTACAAAAATAACTCTGATTTGATTATTTTTTGGAAGTGTTTTCTTGATAGTATTTTCAAGTTCTAAATTGTTCGATTTTATCACCTGTGGTGGTGGTATAGAGACAAAAGACGATACGTCACGATTAGATGTGTAAGTTTGAGCTGCATAGCCTGAAGGAAAATTTTGAGTTGAGCCGGCTCGACTTTAAAAGATAGAGGGTCAGCCTAACATGGCCTTAAGCATAAAAAATTTAGGGCCGGCACCGGCTCGGCCTGAAATTTAATAAGATAATTTTCAAAACAATCTTTAAAAATATGATGTTTGGGTCGGGCCAGGCCGGCTTTAAAGGAGAGAAGATTGGGCCAGCCCGGCCCTAAGCTCAAAATTTTTAGGGCTGAGGCTGAGCTAATAGTAGCGGATATCGGGTTAGGCTAAATTTACAACTCTAGTCACGATTTGTCAATTCTCATTTTTGTAAGGTTGAAATTTTGTCTCTCATTAGTTAGCTAATATAACTTGTCATAATGTAACGAAAGTAGGGATGTTCTTGCCATTTAAAATTGGGTTATTTACTTTGTTTGTACCATGTGTTTTAGATTTATTAAAAAAGTGTCCTTAATTTTTGGTCTCATAAAAAATATGTCATCATATTAAATTTAGCATACGAATCTATGACTTTTATTGGTCAATAATCTATTTTGACCTATAAAATACTAAAAAAGTTTATTTTGAATGAAAAAAATAGTAAAAATATAAGAGAAAAAAAAAAAAAAACTTAAAAATCCTAACCCAATACCCCATCCCCATGGCAACCACAATCGCCAAGCCCTTTTAAATCTTCCCCCATGTCTATATACACGTGGGAGGAAACATAAATATCCAGAGATTAATTATGGAAAGGTAGGTCTTTCATGTGTTATTTTGATGGATTTAATTAATTTGGTTTGCTTCGTAGCAAAAATTAATTTAGTTTGGAGGGAATTAGAAAATTGTTGAAATTTGGGGAAATGGAGACTGTCGTGTGAAAAATTGTTTTAGGTGAGCGTTTTTTGTTCCTACCCTAAAAGTGTTTGATTAAATGCCCCAGTGAACAAATTTTCTTTTGTTTTCAATGTCCCTTATAGTTTCATGTGTTAATCTGTTTCTTGGGCGTCTTTGACGTACAGCAGCACAAGAATTCTGCGCTACTGCCCTCTTCTTCTTCCACGTGCCCTTCTCCTCCTCCTCCTCTTCCTCTTCTCGCCATTTCTCCTTCTTTCACTTCCATGGACAACAATGCTAATACCAGCAGCACCAATACTTCTTCATTCGCCTCCTTTGCTCGTTCCAATACAAGGTTTTATTTTATATTTTCTCTGTAATATTTGTAATTTATTTCAGAAAGATTGTCTCTTTCTTAGTTTTTATTGCTGAAAAACGATGAGAGATTAGAGAAGTTGAAGAAAGTAAAGTTTTTTTTTTTTGGCGGTTTCTCATGTCAATTTTTGATTTTCTGAGCTTAATTAATAGGCTTTTTTCGTTAGAGTTTGTTTCTGATTACTATTCTTTTTGAATTTGTTGTGGATTCCCCGCAATTTCTACGACACCAATGAATAGGGATTTACATGCTGGTTTACGGTATTGAATGTGCAGTGGTGGTAGAGGAAGAGACTTGGAGATGAAAAATGATAGACAGAGATCGAGAGGGCGTGGAAGCGGTGGCAGAGGCGGCGGTAAAGATAAGATTGACGCACTTGGTAGATTATTGTAAGAACTGAGAACTTAGATTACCTGTTTATTACTTAGTTACTATGATCTTGATAAATTAAGACTTTGAAGCAAAATATGGAGGTGATTAGTTCCTTTCTATAGTTTCTTTTGTGCAGTTGAATTGCAATGATATTGTTGTTTTTTCAATTTACCCTCAAAATTTTAGGCTCAATTTAGTTTTTTCCAGGACACGAATTTTGCGCCATATGGCTTCTGAACTGAATCTGAATATGCGGAGTGACGGGTACGTGAAGGTTAATGATCTCTTAAAGCTCAATTTGAAGACGTTTGCCAATATCCCATTAGGATCACATCCTGTTTATGAAATTAGGGAGGTTAGTGTGTTAGAGTTTCTGCTTTCTTTACTCTTTTATACTATTTTTTAACATTACCGAATAGTAAAAGCGTGAACATTTTGTTATTGATCATAATTTACATATTTCGAAATTGTGTGATGTTTGGGCTGATTTAGTAAAAGTGATTCTTCTGTTAGTTATTTATTTCCTTTACAAACTGTCTCAAGGAAAAAGTTAAAAACTATTTCAGGCGGTCCGGAGAGATAACAAGCAGAGGTTTAGCCTCCTGGAAGAAAATGGAGAGCTTTTAATACGCGCAAACCAAGGTCACACGATAACGGTGATATATCCTTTTAATCTTCTTTTGAACTTGATTAGCAAAAATCTTCTTTTGAACTTGAAATAGCAAATCCATTTGACAGAATACCTTTTTGTTTAATTACGGTTAACTTACGACTAGAGCACTATATCTGCTTCCTGTTCAGCAATCTTGAACGTAAAACATGTTGTTGTCATCCTTTTCAACTGCCTTGTGTAGGTAACCTTTCAATTTGAACTTCTTGTTCTTGGTATAAATGTTATAATGTTGCATATGTTGCTTTGAAACAGATGTTAGCCTAGGATTACCTGTATTTAGTTCTTTTCCCCATTTGTTTATGATCGTCATTTTGCGACTGAGCATCTAACTTTGTTAGCCAAAAAAGCAACAGTAGCTTGCACCAAAAGTTTTATGTGAATTTTTGTTCGAAACTTGCAGGCAGTTGAATCTGAAAGACTATTAAAGCCCATTCTTTCGGCTGATGAAATTCCAGGTGCTTTTTTTTTTTCGGACTCTTTTGAAATTGTACGTCTCCAAAGGAGAGAAAACCATTAACCATATGTCGTTTCTTATTCAAATGACCTTTTTGTTTGCTTAATTGTTTTTCTCCTTCCTTCTGATTTCAGTGTGTGTACATGGAACTTATAAGAAGAATTTGGAATCCATATTAGAGTCTGGTCTAAAACGCATGAAAAGATTTCATGTGCACTTCTCTTGCGGCTTGCCGATGGATGGTGAAGTGATTAGTGGTAATATAATCAATAATTCTGTTTTTGAATATATTTTAACTTCTGAAAACACCCCTGGGTGCACCCTCTTAATTCTTAAAGGATGTTTAATTATGAACAAGAGGTTGAGTTGTGGTGCTTAGCACTGTTGATGCCCACAAGCATTGTTCTTCAGATTGTTGATGTGATTTTTCATTTTCAGGCATGAGACGAGATGTAAATGTCTTGATATTTCTTGACGTCAAAAAAGCTTTGGAAGGTAAATAGTTTGTAAAGGATAGAGCTTTAAAATCCAAGATACCGCTTTTGTCTCCGGTGTTTGTTCATCACGATGCGAAATGCATGCCTAATTTCTAATTGTTGCTTTTAAATTTTGCACAGAGGGAATGAAGCTCTACGTCTCCGACAACAAAGTAATACTGACTGAGGGTTTTGATGGTGTTGTACCTGTCAAGTACTTCAAAAAGATAGATTCATGGCCGTCTAGACAACCTATTCCTTTTTGAGCTCTTGGGTTTGACCAGGAATGGTCGTTTTGTTTTCCCTTTTTCTCTTCTTTTTGGTCCCCGGAATGGTCACTTGATTAACTTTGGGACGATGAAATAAAGCTGGTTCCTTTTTTCCATCATAGATGTATATTTAGCTCTTGAATTACATAGTGTATGCCTCCTTATCAACGTGGCATGGAATTTGATATTGTTCCCTTGGAAGTATATGCATGTACTTATCAGTTCCTTCAGTGATTTACTCTGAATCTTGATCACACAAATCATAGAAGTAGTTCCCTTTCCATTCACATGGAAATATCATAATATTTTCAATTGATTAGAAAAAAAAAAAAAAAAGCAATTTTTTTGATGAGTTACCAAACCCACATCATTTAGAAATGAGAGAACTTTTGAAACTGCTCACTATTTAAATGCAACAGATCTGAGTATACAAATGTAGTTTCAAACATTCGATATAGAGGAGGTTTTTTTTTTTTTTTAATTGAAAAAGTTTCTTTTCTTTGATACATTTTTGTTAAAATAATTTTTTCAAATATTTTATAAATACGTTATTATCCATCCGAAGAGTGTCATGGGCGTGAATGCAAAAAATTCACTCTTCCGTACGCCTTAACAATTTTGCAAAGCTACACACATGCATTTTATTAACACCGTTAATGATTTTCTTGTTCTCCTCTGGTTTCTATTAATTTAAATTATATGAAATTCTGTTTCGTCTATCATATTCATATATGTTTCTATTCTTCTATGTGTTAATTAACACATGCTAAATTAATTAATCAATTACGCTGAGTATTCCTAACTTCTAGACTTCTATCATTTGACTAGTTTAAGGTACGTGTGTAGTGTGTCACATTATAGGAAAATTGATATACATGAGTTACGTGAAGAGATGTTAAGACACTGTTAAAAAATTAAGAAATATTAAAATATAGGACAAATTTTATAAATTCTCTTGAACTTAGTCACTTGTATCAACATGCTCTTAAATTTTAAAACGTGCATGTTGTGCCTCCTGAATTATGACATCTCTCCAAGTTTTCCCCCAATGTTTGATTCCGCTAAATTTTTTAACGGAATGTTTATAAATATCCTTGAACTTTGTTTTTTGTGAAAACATGCCCCCTACTTATTTTGCTCCTCGAATATAATTCTTTTTTTTTTTTTTTCATGTAAGGAGGCTAGCTATGAAGAAAGGAAGTACATATATTAAATAATTTTTTTTTGTGCAAAATGCTTATATTAATTAATTAAGTTCATATATGATTGAACTTCCAAATAGATCACTGTATGTACTATATAGTAGAAAATGATACATACTTTCAACTTGAATTTCCATCTCTTTCTGAATTCTAATGAAATTTAACGATATATTGATGTAAGACTTCTTTTCTTGCTAGAAATTTAATGACATAAGATTGCTCTCCATTTCAGTCCCAAGAATTGATTTGTTCTAAAACATCGTTCAATAGTTAGGTAAGGTGGACGATAGCCACTCGGACCATTATTTTCATATATATATATATATATATTGAGGAAAAAGATTGGAATTTTATTAGTCAATTGTCAAATCAACAAGTACAGAAGAGCTAATAAAACTCAGTGAAGCACCTATCCAAATAAAATCATCATTCTGAGAACAAACATAATTAACTAGTGAACTACAGAATTTCCTCGTCGAGGTATGTAGCAAACCGTGCCACTATTTGCATGTCAAAAAGTGTCATGAACTTCTTCAATGGTTGAAGCTTCAAGAGCTCTCCAAACCAGAGAATTAATGGCATTAACAATATCGATTAAGATTCTATTTATTTTATCGATTTGAGTTTAGAATTTAAATTTTGTTACAGTAAATAATTCTTAGAAATAATCACATCTAATTTTTTTGCTACAGTAAAAAAATTCTCACATAAAATTACATCTCAAACTCGAATTAAAAACTTAAAATCAACAAACTAAACGGATCTTAAATTCAACTCTAACTCACCTTGCCTAACAAACCTCGTCCTTTCCAAACCGCCGGACACTTCGCAGCACCGGGACTAATATTTCCAAAAAACTGAATAGCTGCCTCACCAAGCACGCGTCCTCACTCATCACAGACACAAATACCAATCCCAGAAAAATTTAGATGGGGTTTGATAGCAGAATCAATATTTACCTTGACAAAACCAGGCTGTGGAGCTATCCATCTCTCACAAGTAGTCTCCCAAACTTTGGCTGGCCCTGTCAAGAGCACATTTCACTTCTCTCACACCATATCTAATTTAATAATATATGAAAGAACCAAAACTTTTATAATAGTAGTCTTTTATGGAGTTGCCACACGGCGCTCTCTTCTCTTTTTCTATTTTTTACTTTTTTATATTCTTTACATTTTTTTAAATATTTGTTTTTTTTATTTTTTTGTTTTGTAAATTTGTTAGGGTTTAATTTTTATTTTTCTCACTTTACTCTTATGAAAATAATTTTTTTTACTTGTGTTTTTATTTAATTTTTTTATCAATAGTTAAAATAATTTTCTTCAAATATGTCTCTACTTAACTATTTTCGTCTAATTCATGATGTCAAAAGTTATCTTTACACACATTTTTTTTTTCATTTTAACTTTTTAAATGTTTTGTTCTTTTTTTATTTATTTATTTTATGAATTTTCACTTTCCTAATTTTATTTTTTTTGTTACGTTTTTTCTTATTTTAGGCCAAGGGCTTTTTTATAGTTTATCATAAAGTGCAAATTGTTTCACTTTCACAGCCTTCCAAAACAGACATTCAATAATACAACTTATCATTTCTTCACTTCAACATCAATATGACAACAATTAAAACACAATAAAATACAAGAAATTTTGTCATCAAACATTTTTGCATTTTAAGCTTTTCAATTTCAGCTTGCATTCTTCAAATTTCATCATCTTTCTCACCAATTATCGCTTATAAGTTTTCAACTTCACCCTCTAATCATGAAACATCTTCATCTGTTCGATCGAACTTCTTCAGCAATCTTGGCAGAATTTCGTTCATACTAGGATCAATCCACCTTACAAATCCGCAACCCCTATTACATTCATCCTGGTGAATCACATAAACAATGTAAACAAAACCCAAAATTGAAGAAAGGTAACTCATACCAATTCATGAAATCCACAAACCTTTCAGAATTGCGATCACATAGGGATGATTTATTTTTTTCCCAATATTTTCACTTACATTTATACATTAACCTTGTATAAGCAACATCCCCAAAACCATCTTCCCAGATTTAATTGGGTCCTTGCCGTCTTCACAACACAATCCAACTTACAATAACATCTTGGCTGCACTCTAGTCTCAACCCCCTCATTACTTTCTCCTTCCCATCATCTACATTTCGGCCCAATACTTACAGAGTCGTGTGAACCCTTTTGTCCTCTGGTACTATTGCTGGCTGCCATTCATGAACTTAGGCAAGGTGGAATGACCCAGGGCTGCACCTCTTCCCGTCGAATTTGGGCAAAATTAGAGAGGGCTGAGAAGGGGATGAGAAATGGGAATTAGGGCAAAATTCATAAATGACCACGAAATAAAAAGGGAACCTAAAAATGGGATGAGTATATAGGCAAAATCGTCATTTCATATTACAATAAAAATTAAATGCCTCACAAAAACAATGTAAACAAAACCCAATAGAAGAAAGGTAACTCATACCAATTCATGAAATCCAAAAACTTTTCAAAATTGCAATCGCATATGGATGATTTTTTTTTCTCACTATTTTCAATTACAATTATACATTAACCTTGTATAAGCAACATCCCCAAAACTGTCTTCCCGGATTTAATTGGGTTCTTGCCGTCTTCACGATACAATCCAACTTACAATAACATATTGGCTGCACTCTAGTCTCAACCTCCTTATTACCTTCTCCTTCCCATCGTCTACATTTCAGCCCAATACATACAGAGCCGTGCAAACCCTTTTGTCCTCTGGTACTATTGCTGGCTGCCATTCATGAACTCAGGCAAGGTGAAGTGACCCAAGGCTACGACTCTTCTCGTCGAATTTGGGCAAAATTAGAGAGGGTTGAGAAGGGGTTGAGAAATGGGAATTAGGACAAAATTCATAAATGACCACGAGATAAAAAGGGAACCTGAGAAGGGGATGAGTATATGGACAAAATCATCATTTCATATTACAATAAAAATTAAATACCTCACAAAAATAGTGTAAACAAAACCCAAAATTGAAGAAAGGTAACTCATACCAATTCATGAAATCCACAAACTTTTTAGAATTGCAATCGTATAGGGATGATTTATTTTTATCACAATATTTTCACTTACAATTATACATTAACCTTGTATAAGCAACATCCCCAAAACCGTCTTCCCGAATTTAATCGGATCATTGCCATCTTCACAACACAATCCAACTTACAATAGCATCTTAGCTGCACTTTAGTCTCAACCTCCTCATTACTTTCTCCTTCCCATCGTCTACATTTCGGCCTAATACTTACAGAGCGTGCGAACCCTTTTGTCCTCTCGTACTATTGCTAGCCGCCATTCATGAACTCAGGCAAGGTGGAGTGACCCAGGACTGCGACTCTTCCCGTCGAATTTGGGCAAAATTAGTGAGGGATGAGAAATGGGAATTAGGGAAAAATTCAGAAATGACAACGAAATAAAAAGGGAACCTGAGAAGGGGATGAGTATATGGACAAAATTGTCATTTCATATTACAATAAAAATTAAATGCCTCAGCGACTTCCACGGGTCACTTAACGTTCAAAATTTAACAGAGGGGACGAAAAAGGGAGACGCGTGCTCATGGCGAATTGTTCAGGAGAAAATTTTATTATTTTTAAACTTTATAGGGCATTTTGGTAAAACGCTAAAAGTTTAGGGGGGACAAGTGTAATTTGTCCTTTAATTTTTTAACGACTATTTATACATCCAGTCTAACATCTGACATATATAAAAACAACCAAATGAACTTAGCTCGTAAGAAGACCACGTGTTGGCTTCATTTTTCTTATTTTTTTGTTAAACTTTTCCTTTTTTCCTCTTTTTTCTTTTTAATTTTTTAGTTTTTTCTTCTTTTCTTTTGCCTATTATATTTTTTATTTTTCTCCAGTAATATTCTTTGACAGTTGTTTTTTACAATATTCTTTTTTGAAATACTTTATTTTTTCTTATTTTCTTTTAATTAAAATAAATCCTTTTAAATATATTCTTCTTCTTTTTTTTTTTTTTCAAAAACTCCTATATAACTTTAATACTTTTTTTTAACTTTCCTTCTTTTTATCTTTTTTTTATTTTTCTTCTTTTCTTTTGTTTATTGACATTTCTTTTTGTTTTTCCCCTAACCATTTTTTACCTTTACTTTTTTTTTAATAATATTCTTCTTGGAAATACTCTTTTTCTTCACTTTCTTTTAATTAAAATAATTCTTTTCAAATGTCTTCATACTTAATTGTTTTTTTATTTATAAAAACTCCTATATAACCTTAATTCTTTTTCGATATGATTTTTTAAAATATTTTTTTCTCCAATTAATTGACTTTACTTTTAAAGAGGTCATGTGTTTTGATGCACCATCAAACTCATAAAGTTATTTCTCACGTGACTCAACTAGTACTCCATAAAAGTGCACAAAAAATCACAACGCCTTCCTTTTTACCTTTCTGCACCTTAATACCACAATGATGGTTCAGACTAGTAGTAGCGGCAAGTGCTTCATTGCATGCACGCCATGCATGTATTTTTATTTTATTCAGAATTTTCGCATTCCACAACTTCTTTCGCCATTGAGAGAGCAACCATCCCCGCCCCTACATACGGAAGAACTTTTCCTCTGCCACATGATAGGAAGATTTTACTGCATAACCCCCCAATTCCCACTATAATGCCAAATTAAGCAATCATCTCGGTGTAAGTGACCGATTGGATTACCTATAGCTAACTCCTGATCCACTCCCCATAGAGCTTCACAAACTCTCCCCCTATTCCATCGCCAGTCATAATCCGCAATCAAAATATCCTCCTCCCCCCGGCCTTGGACGAGTATATAATGGGTAGAAAACTAGTGGAACGGCTCAACCAAGGGTCTCTGAAAACCTGAATTCTATTCTCATCCCCAATATTAATCTAATGAACACTGGCTTGAAGTAAGCCCCGTCCTCAAATAATACTCCGCCAAATGTAGGACGGATTATTTCCCACACCAGCCTCCAGAAACCCCGAAGAAGGAAACTACTCAACTCTTTTGGAAGTCGCACAATGAGTGAACGAGGATTTGTTAAAATTCCCCAACCTTGCTTACTTAGGCCCGTTTAGTTCGCTGATTCGAATTTTTAATTCGAGTTGAGATGTGATTTTATGTGAGAGCTTTTTACTGTAGCAAAAAAGTTAGATGTGATTGTTTGTAAGAGCTTTTTACTGTAGCAAAACTCGAATTCTAAACTCGAATCAGCGAAATGAACGGGGAACAAATTAGCTTTATTATAAAAGCTTCCATGAGGTCTTGATTTGCGACTCATCCATATCTGGCCTTCTAGGTCTACATAGCTCATGTTTTGGGATGATCTCTTCATGGCCAACCTATGTTTAATTGTACTTATTCGTTACTCTCTTGATAGTTGAGTTCAGTAAAAAAAGAAAAAAAAAGTTTAGTTGAGCACATTTAGAAGATTAAATAATAAATTATTTATAGGGTATATATAAAAAAAAATGTATTTGAGAATGTTGTGCAATAAAAATATCAATGTTTTTTTAGTAGTCTTTAAAAAAATAATTACTAATAATTTTTTATTTTTTAACCATTTAATCTGTATTAAAATCTATCCCTTATGTATATTTTTTGAATGTTATGTGATTTTAATTTAATGTAATTTTAATTAAATTTAATGGTTAAAATTGAAACTACTATAGAGTGGTCTATCAGAGAGATTTTTTTTTTTCTTTTTAAAGGTAAACTAAGAATAATATTAAAATTTAAGGCCATCGGTTAAAATAATCTAAAAATATGTATTAAACAAAAAAGTATTTCCAAAGTAAGTTGCATTGGGTAATTCTGAAAGAATGACCTGAGAGAGAGAAAAGGCGAGAAGCGATCTCGTTAGAATTATCTCCGATCACGCGGAGAAACACTGCCATGAGAATTACTAGGAATTTCTAGCAGCAAAAACAAAAAATCCAAGCAAAGCAAACATTAAATGAAATCAGAGGTCTGCATATAGATGGTGTCTCTGTGGTGATGACGAAAGTACCCAGTGGATGGCGTCGTTTCCTCATCTTTCTTCCTCTCCTTTGCTTTCTTCCCTATTTTTTCAGCGGTACTTCTTACTCGGATTTTTTTTTTTTTTTTTTCTGATTTCTATTTCCATCATCATTATTATTATTATTATTTTTGGGAAGCAAGCTTGATGGTGAATATATATGCCGTGAATTTTTAGTTAGGGAATTGCATCAGAGCAAAACCTTCCAAGATCTACCCACGAAAAAGGGCAAAAAGTTTGATCATTTGGTTCTTGGTCCAGCTGCTGGCGAAGGCTTGCCCAATCGTCTGCAATGCCAAGGTTCTTTTTCATCCCCCCTCTCTCAATAGCCACAGATATTAATCCGACCGGTTGTAATAAATTGAATAGTTAACAAAAAAAAATTAATAATAATTAATAAAATTAGAATCTTATTTATATATTTAGAGGTGAATGGAAACGTAACTATTAAAAACTCGTATATATACTACGTATGTGTGGAATAATTTTCCCATAGAATTTGGGTTTGCGGTGAAATTGTTTCTGAGTACTAGTAAGAATTATTAGTTGATCAGTATTAATTTTGATAGGTGGAAGAAATTTTCCGTAGAATTTGTGCTGTGAAATTAGATCTAACTTCTAAGTACCATTTTCGTAAGAAATTGTTTGTTGATTAGTATAAATTTTAATAGTTTGAAGAATTTTTCCACAGAATTTGGTTTTGCTATGAAATTGGTTTGAAGTTCCATTTTATTAATACATTGTTTGTTAATTATTCTCTTCTTAGAAATCCACTCTGGTATGCTTGTTGGGCATTCTCCTTTGGCATATTCAGAAGATTTCTTCCCTTAAATTGTTGTTTTTTATTTTTATTTCTATTCTGTCAACATCCCAGTGAACAGGCTCTTATGGAAGAACTTTGACTCTGTTCTTCTGTAGCTAGTTTTTCTTGTTGCAGTGAATGATTGTGTCTCATGAGGAGATATTCTTTATATGTTGTGATATGGTGGTTAGAAAAATTTAGCAGTTAGTGTTGGTTTTAGTCATCTTTTTGTTTAAGGTTTCTTATTTGGTTTTTGTTTTCTCTAGAGCAGGCACTAAAGCTCTCAACAAGACCCATTTTTCAACCTCCTCCCATGCATCCACTTTTGGAAACAACATAGCATTTGTCACTGTCTTTACCATTTACAATTCCTCCCTCGGTGTGCGTGCGGATGAGAGGGCATCAAACTTGGTTGTTGTTGGGAATGCTTCATATAGCACAGAAGAGAGGTCAATGGCCATTTTGCACACTTTTGTTAACTTCATTCAGGTAATGTATAGACTGGATTATCATCTTATATTTGCTTCAAACATTAATAACCTACTTGGAAAGCAATAGAATGTACTTTTTCAACGTGCATTTTGTATAACTATGTACTAGTTCTTGATCCAAGTTTCTTTTGGCTAGAACCTTGAGGTTTGTATTCTATATATTGCGTTTTAAGATTGTTAGTATTTTAGTTGGACGTCATAATGTTTCTGAGTGTTGCATAGAAGAAACCATATGAATCTTACATGTTATATTGTGCAGGTGACAATGCCTAAAACCAATATTTTCATTCTTACAGACCCAGCATCTGATCTTTCAATTAGCAGGAATGGGGTAACTGTTTATCCAATCCAAGGTGAATATTCGCGAGACAAGTTGATGCTTCAAAGAATCAGGTCTTACATTGTAAGAGCACATTGCACGCGTTAATTGTAGTTAGAAGACTCTGTGTAGGAATAGCATGCTGCTCAGGTTTTTTCAGTGTTTCGTGTGATTAAATGATGCACTCACATATCTGGCTTTCTAATATGTTTTGTTATTTTAGCATCCCCATAAACTTTAGCCTTTTGTTTGAAATTATCTCAAAAGTGCAAATTATTTTATGATTTTTCCCTTTCGCAATGGGGTGACTTTAGTCATTGTTAGTACATGGTTTCTTTTCTATTGTTGTGGTAGTAATTTTCTGGTTTTATTATGACAAAACTGAATTTAAAAATTGTGTTGCTAATTCAGGCCTTCTTAGAAGCAAGGCTTTGGGAGCTTTCTCAGAAACCGGAGCACATTAGTCACTACATATTCACCGACTCGGATATAGCTGTTGTTGATGATTTAGGACACATATTTCATGACTTTCCAAATTTTCATCTGGCTTTCACCTTCAGGAATAACAAAGCACAACCTCTGAATTCAGGATTCATAGCTGTGAGGGGAACTGCTGATGGCATTTTAAGGTGTGCATTGGTTTCCTTTAACTCCAATTTGGTTACAATGGAACTAGAAATGTATTTAAAGTTTTTCAATCTATTTTCTGTCTTTTGGCGTTCAAGTTTAACAAGTTTAAGCCGAATCTTACTTTCATGAGCCTGTATGGTATTGCAGGGCAAAGAAATTTTTACAAGAAGTGCTTGAAATTTACAAATCAAAGTACATGAATGCTTCTCGAATGCTCGGGGATCAGTTAGCTCTTGCTTGGGTTGTGAAGTCTCATCCTTCTTTTGACGCGTCGAGATTTTCCAAACCACGAGTTTTTCTTGAAGATGTTGGTGGCGCCTCAGTATTATTTTTACCCTGTGCCACATACAATTGGACACCACCAGAAGGTGCTGGTCAATTTCATGGCATGCCTTTAGATGTCAAGGTATTTCTATTGAAAAATCATGAAACTTCTTTTTCTATGAGAATCTTTGATAAAGTCTAAAGTTGGTGGTTTTTTGCATGGATCCTCATACGTTCTCATATCTTGGATATAGGTTGTTCATTTTAAAGGGTCAAGGAAACGCCTGATGCTCGAGTCTTGGAATTTCTTCAATTCCTATTCTGATATATCAGATATGTTGTGCCTTGTCTTGAAGAGTGGAAGAACGAAGTATGATTTTTGAATGTGTTGATTTTTTTGTTTTAGCTTCATTCTTGGATTGTGCAACAGAAATTTTGATGGGATACTGTTAATTTTGTTGTAAAAAGAGAAGCTCGATTTGTGTGTTTCAATGATAGAGATGACTATTTCATAAATGCCCCTGAATAGTGTCACTTTTTCATCTTGCTTACCGACCTTTAAAACTTGCCACTCAATACCTCTGGAAATTCCGTAGTATGCCTAAAAAATTCAACATCTTTACATTTATGTCATCTAGTCTCTTGCTATCTTTTGATTTAAAGAAAAAGTTAATTTTCTAGTCATCCTTGTCAAGAAGAAAAAATATCATAGTATTAGCATATAAAAATATCCTTTCAGGATTTTTTTTTGGTGAATTGGGTACATAAATTGAAGTTTATGGCATTGGTGCCTTAAATGTAAAGAGCTATCTTTCGGAGGGTAATTTTTGTATTTCTTCCTTAAAAGGTGTTTTTATTTATATTTTAAAAATGCTCATAGTTTTTCAACTTAAAATTTAATAGTCATCTTGTATCTTTCTTTCTCAAATTCTCTTATTTCTTTCTTTTTTTTAAGAATAATTAGAGTGAAATTGGATTTCAATTTCTTAGATACAGTTCTACTTCATCAATTCTGTAAACGAATAATTAAGGATTAATTTCATTAATTTCCCCACATCTATGTTCTCAGTTCAGCATGACTAGGAATTTTTAAAAGCGTTCATTTTACCTCTTCAAGTATATAAAAGCGTCCAAAGCACCCGTTTGGTCCAAATACTTGGTAATACTAATACCCACATTATTGATCATGTCAACTTTCCCTCCGAGTTTTCAAAAGTGATATTTGCATTCCCTATCATGAAAAAATGTTTAAAAGCCCATTCTATCCAAATTTATTAGAAATCTAACTAAATATGGTTGACATCACATGTTTCAAAATGGTTGATAAGGGATGATTTGGTAAAATTGTATTGAGCAGATTCATATTTTCCTTTATAATCACAACAAAGTCGAAAAGTATTAGATAATAATTAAACAAAGGGGGTGTTCTTTTCACAATTCTAATCACAACTAAAATTTTTTTACTACAATGTTTTTTCTTATAAAAATTTAAATTTAATTTTTTTAGTACAATATTTTTTTAACATAAATTTACTTTTTAACTCAAATTTACGTAAAGAATAGGACCAAAATTCTAAAAAAATATATATAAAAAATCAATTAAAAAAAACATTTTTACAACTTTTCCCCGCCAATGTAGTTGGAGAGAAGTGAGTTCAAAATGAGTTAAGGAATAAGGATAAGGTACAGTGTTTTCTCTTATAAAAGTTTAAATTTCTTTTTTGTTATAATGTTTTCTTTGACATAAATTTACTTTTTAACTCAAGTTTTCAACTCAAATTCGCGTAAAGAACGAGACCAAAATCTTTAAAAATATATATAAAAAATAAACTTAAAAACATTTTTACAACTTTTCCCCCACCAATGTAGTTGGGGAGAATTGAGTTCAAAATGAGTTAAGGAATGAGGATTTTGATAAAATTATTTAAACTATAGGTATTAGTGAAAAAAAAAACTAGTAAAAATTTTCAAAAAATAAAAAACGCAGAAGTGTTTTTTGCAATTTATTTTTATTTTTCTAAGACTTTTTACTATTTTTTAATAATTTTTATACAATGTTAATATATTGTTTATAAGTGAAATTTCGGGCATAGACAATTTTATGAAATCACTCTTTATTAACCTATTTTATTCACTCATTAAATTCACCAAAATTACTTATTATTTTCCTTTTTTTTTTTTTTTGCTTGAAACCAATTAATTTTTCTCTTTCAATACTACAAATATCACTCAAACTGGAAACCAATATCGCCGCCTTCTTTAGAACAAAAAAGCCTTTAGAGAGGGAGGGCAAATGCTATCCATTCCAACCATAAAATTGGCGTTTTTAAATAAGTGAAATTCATTGGAGCTCTAAAGTATTTGTCCAATTTTGTTCATAACGTTAAAAAAAAAGCTTATCTATTTTGTAATATCTTGTATTTCTATAATTGTATAATTACATACAATATTTAAAATGCTGTTTGGGTAATGAGCTGTGCGTAATTCTAATTTTTAAGACTTATGGCGTAACTGTCAAAATAAAATAATAATAATAATAATAATAATTTAATTAAGTAAATATGAAGTTTGGTTTTAATAAAAAAATCCACAAACTACCCTTTTTTTTTTCTTTTCTTTTTGAAATTTACCCTCAGTTAATATCAAAATCTAAATGCTACTGATAAAACATTTATACTTGCCTAAAATGAAAAATTAAACAAAATCGAACTTTCTCCCATCTACCTAACTTCTAACGCCGGGTAGCACCTAGAGAGTAGCATGCCGAGTTTCAAGTGAGTATTTTTCATTGCTTTATTATTATTATTTTTTACTTTTACATTGCTTTTGAAACTTTAAATATTTTATTGATATTTTGATTGTGAGATAAATGCTTAATAACTTTGTCCTAAATTCATACAAATAAGTTCCATACTTATTTTCGTCTTTCTTTCTAAATTTAATAATGGTTGTATGCGGACAAGATAAATTCCTTAATCTATAGCAACATAACACGAGTACTTATACATGATGTGGTACTTCTCAGATATGGTTGGCATCTAAAACTGCACAGCTTGGACTCTCGCCTTAGGAGACGTTCCAGGAAATAACACATGTACGGAAACGTAGTTGCATCTTAGGGATGCTTGTGTAAGAGTCTGCAGTGATTTGGGCTACATCGGACAAGTTTCGGGCTGCAGCGGATTACATTACAGAGGCCAGTGCATTGTTTTGGCCTGCAGCGGAAGTCACTCCTGCTGCAGCGATTTTCGAACCCGACAGGAAATTGTAATTGTGCCCGCTGCAGCGGCAGTTAAACTCACTGCAGCGAGTGACTTGCCAGAGACGAATGCAAAGTGCTCCCGCTGCAGCAATGTTATAACTCGCTGCAGTGAGTGCCTTACCCGAGGTGAAACAGCAAGAAAATTCGCTTTTCATCCGCGCTGCAGCAATCGGGCTTTTCAGAAACCCTGAAAGGGGCTTCTGATCCGCTGCAGCGCCGCGGGTTTTCCAGCAAAATAAAACACGGAAAAAAAAAAAAAAACAGCCATTCCTCCTCATTCTAACTCTCCAAATTGCCATCCCCTTCACCAAAACTCAACCCTAAAAACCCAGAAAAATCGAAACTCCACCAAGAATCTTCCTCTTCCCACCATGTTTTCTCCATTTCCACCAACTTTCTCACTCACCCACTCATCCTCTCTACTTATAACCTCCAACACTCTGGTTCTCCCACCATTGGCGCTCAATATAGTAAGGATTCGAGGGTTTTTCTTCTTCCATTCTCAATCTTCACATCAAGTAAGTCAGAGATTTCATCCGGATTTTGAGAAAAAATTTGGTAAAAGTCCCTAGTTTTTGGTGGACAAAGTTTGGGATTATTTTTGAATTTGTTGGATAGTCTTGAAATTGGAGTATAGAATTATGAAAACCTTGGTGCTAGTTGTTGGACAATTATTTGCAAAAATATTTGTGACTTTGAGAAACTTGTGGAGATTGTTACTATTGGTGACGAATTGTGGATTGTTACTCTAGAGGATTATGGAATTTTTGTCGGTTTGGGTGATTGGTTTTTTGTGGCTTGTAAATTTATGTTGTCTTTGTGATTATTGTGCTCGGATTGTTGTTTCGATTGGTTTGTGCCTTGAAATTGATTTGGTGAGGGGTTTGCTTTGGTCAAAGCCTATCTTATTTGGATGATTGTGAATTGCCGAGAGTTGTTGGTTAGTGGTTCTTGTGCAAACAATTTGAGTTAATTCTTGTGATTTGAACTTGCTCTTGTGCTTGAAAATGCCAAAGCGAAAGGCAGTGGCCACTAAGAACAAGAAGGAGGCTCCTAAGCCCGCCAAAGAAGCGAAGAACCTTGTAAATGAAAAGGCCGAAGAACTTTACCATGAGTGCAGAAAATGGCGGCCAGCCCTAAAGGAGAGGGGCATGCAATTCATTGTGAAAGATTTCCCCCAGTACGCGGAAGTGATTGTATTGCGTGGTTGGGAATTTATTATCGAGACTCTAAAGATAGCTGCTTTGACATATGTTCGCGAGTTCTATGCCAACGCTGATCATATTAGGGGGTATAAGTCTAAGATTCGAAATGTGGATATCAAATATGATGCAAACACCATTTCAGGTTAGATTGCCAGACATTGATGAACTTGAGAAATGCATGAAAATGTTAGCTCCAAGATTTCATTAAATTAATTAATAATGATTTTGATGATGACAAATAAATTGATTGATTATTTACTAACATTTTTTTCTTGAGTTTGTTTTATGCTTAAATTGTTTAAGTAAGTAGATTACTCAAGAAAGATTGAAAAATGTTAAAAAGTGCTCTCAAATTCAAAGCTTGAAAGTGGGAAAATGAAGCTTGAAAAAATAATGTACAAGACTTTCTCACATAGGTTTATTTTTACAACTTTAGTCTTGTGTTTGATGTTCGAGCACTTGGCATAAATTATCTCATTAATTTAGCTAAAAGTTTCTCATTAAAAACTGTTTTTGAAATTCTTGCGAGCAACAGTTTTACATCCAAATGATTTTTAAAAATTACAAAAAAATTGAGGGATGTTTTATTTGTATAAAAAAAGACTTGTGTTTGAAAATTGTGTAAATTAAATTTTTAAGCCTTCCTAGAAGCCACATTTAGTGGCTGCATTGACATCGTCTAGTTAACCGAATGGGTAACCGAACGTGCCTAACGGCTAGTTGTTAGGCCCGTTAGTTGTTAGGCCCGTTAGTTGTTAGGCACTAATTTAACGGGAGAAAAAGGAAAATAGGCCAAAATTTGAGATGAATTAAAATTAATAGGTTAATAGTTTACATAAGTTAATAAATAGGTCAAATTATTGTTTTCGTCCATAACTAGTCTGGTTATGAATCATTACTTGACAAGTTATTGTCCATAATTGTCCATAACTTGTCTAGCTATGAACCATAACTTGACAAGTTTATCCATAACTTATCTGGTTATGAACCATAACTTGACAAGTTATGGCCTATTAATTTCTATAACTAAAAATTGGCATATATACTTTCTTAAGCTTTTCATATTGGCCTATTTTCTACTATTTTTTCTAATTTAACTAGTCGTTAGACACGAGCCCAAATGACTCTATTTCGTACTTTTTAACAAGGGAGAAAGAAAAAAATATGCCAAGACTTGAGATGAATTAAAATTAATAGGCCAATAGTTTACATAAGTTAATAAATAGGTCAAATTACTGTTTTTATCCATAACTCATCTGGTTATGAATCATAACTTGACAAGTTATTGTCCATAATTCACGATTTTTGTCCATAACTTGTCTGGTTATGAACCATAACTTGACAAGTTATGGCCTATTAATTTCTATAACTAAAAATTGGCCTATATACTTTCTTAAGCTTTTCATATTGGCATATTTTCTACTATTTCCGTTTTAACAAATAAGAGATCTTTTATGGTCCAAAATTCTTCTTGAACATTTTTTAAGAGCTCCAAAGAGTATCCAAATATCCTTGAACTCAAATTGCATAAATTCCTTTGATTTTTAAGCTTTCGATACACACTTTCAGCTAAACTTGAGATTATTTTTGCTTTAGTGTGAAAAACATCTCCTAGTATCCTACTTGTAATCAAACAAAATTGAAGGAGATCTTCTTGAGTGATCTAAGTTTAAAATTTCACTATTCCACCAAAGTCTTAGGTTGCCAATCCCTTGTAATTTGGTGTGTAAAGAATAGCTAACATTCTAAGTTAAAGTCTGACAATTGTAAGAGATTGTGGCGAGCCTTAAATTGAAGTAGTCATTGTCTTTGTATTGTAGTGATCGAACCGAAAGGACAATCAAATATAGTGGAAGAGGTCAAGCGACCTTAGGCCTGGGCCTTCATCTCTTATCCTTGTTGTTCAATCATGTCATAAAGGTCGGCTTCTTCACCTTCCTCGGCTTGGTTATTCCAAATCTGGTGAATGTCGTTCTTATCCAAGGGCCGCACAGAGTCTAAAAAGGCCGTATCATCACTTGTGTTCACACCCGCTGCTTGAATAAGTTCTGTGATTAGCGATGGAACCGCTAATGCCACTCGAGTGCTTTGGTCGGCATGGGAGATGGTTGTTTGAATACATGCACCAACATTGAATTCTAACCCCATCTTTATAGCATAAAGGACAAAGGCCCGCTCTCGAATGACCTCTGACATATGGGATGTCAGATACATCCTTGTGCATTAGAAGTGATGTCATATGTTCGAGTCCTTGGCAAGGTATTTCTTATTAAACGTCGACTCGGTACCACGTGCAATTGACCAACAGCATCCATTAGAGCAAATAGCCTTCACCATGTCATCTATATTGGGGTTTTTCATGTATTCCTCGTTCATCAATGTCCGGTAATCTAATTTGAAATGCTTGTTGATGGTGTTTGCGTTATACTTCTCGTTCATTTCACCGATTTGAGTTTTCAGTTTTAAATTTATACAGTAAAAAACTCTCAGAAAATGTCACATTTAACTTTTTCTGCTACAGTAAAAAATTCTTAAAAAATGCCACATCTCAACTCAAATCCGCGAAATGAACAAAACTAATTTCCACATTTCGAACCTTTCACATAAAACTCACGAACATATGTCCAAGCAACTGTCTCTAAGGTCTTGAAAGAATTTCCAACCATCCGATACAATCACTTCCGCATATTGGGGGAAATCTTTTGCAATAAATTGCATGCCCATCTCTTTTAGGCTAGCCGCCATTTTATGCACTCATGGTAAAGTTCTTCGACCTTTTCATTTATAAATTTATTCACTTTTTTGGCGGGCTTAGGAGCCTCCTTCTTGTTCGTAATGGCCACTGCCTTTTGGTTTGGCATTTTCAAGCACAAGAGCAAGTCCAAATCATAAGAATTAACTCAAATTCTTTGTACAAGAACCATCAACCAACAACCCCCGACAATTCACAATCAACAAAATAAGATAGGCTTCAAGCAAACCCCAAACCAAATCAATTTCACAAGACAAATCAATGGAAACAACAATCCAAACCCAAGCACAATAATCACAAAGACAAATACTCGTTTAATTTATTGATTTGAGTTTTAAATTCAAATTTAGATTGTGACTTTATACGAGAGTTTTTTATTGTAATAAAAAAATTAAATATAATTATTTTTAAGAATTTTTTACCGTAATAAAACTCAAATTCTAAATTCGTATAAGTGAAATGAACAGAATAAAAATAAATTCACAAGCCACAAAAACCAATCACCCAAACCGACAAAAATTCCACAATCCTCAAAAGTAACAATCCACGATTCCTCACCAATAGCACCAATCTCCACGAGTTTCTCAAATTCACAAATATTTTCTCAAATAATTGTCCAACAACCAGAAATTCTTTCAAAGCACCAAGGTTTCCATAATTCCACACTCTAATTTCAAGATTATCCAAAAAATTCAAAAATAATCCCAAAATTCGTCCACCAAAAACTAGGGTTTCACTTCTACCAAATTTGTTCTCAAAATCCGGATGAAATCTCGAAAGATACTTATTAAATGTAAAGATTGAGAATGGAGGAAGAAAAACCCTTTGAATCCTTGCTATATTGAGCGCCAATGGTGTGAGAACCGGAGAGTTGGAGGTTACAAGTGGAGAGGATGAGTGGGTGGGTGAGAAAGTTGTGGAAATGGAGAAAATTTGGTGGGACGAGGAATATACGTGGTGGAATTTCGATTTTTCTGGGTTTTTGGGGTTGCGTTTGGTATTTGGTTGAGTTTTGGAGAAGGACAGCGGTTTGGAGAGTTAAAATGAGGAGGAATGGCTTTTTTTTTTCCGTCTTTTATTTTGCTGGAAAAGCCGCGGCGCTGCAGCGGAAGCCCCTTTTATGGTTTCTGAAAAGCCCGATAACTTCAACAATAGGAAGAATGTCCACTGGAGTAGTTGTATATGATACCAAAGTTCATGCCCACTTCATAGAAATCTGGACAAAATCACCAGCTTCCAATCCAAGAATCTCTACATCTGTCACTATTACCTTACAAGATGTTTGTCCTGATTCTCTTCGTTGAAAAAAGTAGAACAATAGCAATTGCATGATAAAATGATAAATAAAGACAAAGTTGTTCCAAAAATAGCAAAAATCTCCAAAACGTCCAGACACAAAAATCTGCAGGTTGTATGGCCAAAGATAAGAAGAATATTGATGGCACTGATGATGCACATAGACGTCATAAGAAAAGTCTCCTAGAATCAGGAAAAGGAACAAAACCAGATAAAGAGAATGAATGGCTTTTTGTTATTTTATTTTAGTAAGAGTGGAGTCGATGAATATTATTTATATATGTATGCAAAATAACTTAAAATTAGAAAGAGTTATAATTTTCAAAATTGTTCCCTTTTTTTTTTTTTCTGGGATGTTTAATATCACATTTTCAGCTAGAAGGTTTAGGATGTCAAGATAGCATAGTGAGTTGTGGTCCATGTTTGAACTGTCAATATTAGGAAATTGAACAAAATGGGCATTCCTATATTTAGGCAAACTCAGTTCTCAATCATTCCATTCCCCGGAATACAATCTCTGAATATAAATCTTCCAAGAATATATAGTAACTTAGGCAACAAATATAGCATGTGTGAATAAGACAACATAGACCAGTAAGTAAGGAAAGGAAAACACCAAGGTAGAAGCAACATAGAAGAATGATTTGATACTCTCGTCAACTCTAGCAAGCAAAACAAAAGGGCATACTGATTTAGATTCACAAGTAAGCTGGTTTGAAATGGAATAAGTGCGAGGCAAGGGAAGTGGCCTGTAGAAGATACACAAAACATTCAAAAATTGCAGCCAACAACAAGATAAATAATTCAACAACACAAGTAATGCCATTCCATTTATGTTAAATAAAAATCAGCCCCATTACAGAAAAAAAAAATCCAACAGTAGCTCCTTAATTCAGTTTCATCTAATAGTAAAAACGAAAAGGAACAAAAAAAAAAAAAAAAACTACTGTGTGCTATTTTATTGAATCGCAGGGCAATGATACATGTCCACCAATCAGCAGCATCTGCTCTATTACTCGTGAAATTCTAAAAAAAAAAGAAAAGCTACAACAATTACATTCCAAAGGAATAAGAAGAAAACAGATAGATAGTCCTCAATTTTGTTTTTCCTTTCTCAATACACAGCTGAGCTATGAAGTGGCCATCAAACAATGTCCAATGCTCAATTTCCAATGTCCGTCGTCATCAACCCACAAAACCCCTTCTTCAGTTTAGGACACACAACAAGGTCCTCCTTATATTGGCATCATTACTAACAGAGAGATGTTTAGATATTAAAAAGAAAGAAAGAAAGAAAGAAACAATCATAAGAATTGGTAATAAACGAGAATTCATAGGAATGGATCATATTCCTACCACCACAACACAACTCAAAAAGAATTCTTTTCTTCTTTTTTTTTTTTTTCTTTTTTTTTTCCCCTTTATTGGGGAGCCTTCTTCCCACCAGAATAGTAACTGAGATACCACCTCACAAACTTCTTCAAACCAGTCTGCAAATCAGTAGTGGGCTTATATCCAAGCTCCCTTTGAGCCCAACTAATATTAGCATGAGTAAACTGAACGTCCCCATTCCTCGGCAACTTCATTATGTGCCTCTTCGCCTTCACCTTCAACAGCCTCTCCAAAATGCTGACCAAATCCGAAACCGGTACGGGAGAAGTATTCCCTAAATTGAACACCCTCAACTGCGCCGGCCCCTTCTTCTTCCCCCCACTCCCGGTACTCTTCTCCGCAGTGTCCAGCGCAGCCAAACACCCCTTCACAATATCATCAATGTAGGTAAAATCCCTCGCAACCGTCCCGTGATTTGCCGCTTCGAAGATTGAAATCGCCTTCCCTTTCAAAATATCCCTTGTGAAAAAGAAATACGCCATGTCTGGCCTTCCCCAAGGGCCATAAACAGTGAAAAATCTCAATCCGGTTAATGATAGTCCATAAATATGATTATAAGTATGTGCAATCTCTTCACCAGCCTTCTTCGTAGCCGCATAAAGACTCGCAGGCTGGTCCGTCCGGTCCCTTTCTGAGAAGGGAACTTTAGTGTTAAGCCCATAAACAGAACTAGACGACGCCCACACAATCGCCGGCTGAGGATTAACCTCTTTACAAACCTCGAGAAGATTAACTAAACCAGCTATATTGCTATGAACATAAGAGCTGGGATTTTCCATGGCGTACCTGCAGTCGCGGAGCATGATTTAAACAAACATTTTGCATCAAAATTACAATGCAAGTATTTTTTTTTTTTTTTTTGCCCCTCTCAAACCGTATCTCAGCATCTATTTGTATTTTTTTCTCCACATCAAAACTAAGCTTACAACAGAGTTTAATTCACTTTCCAAAGCTCGAAATTTCAAAATTTTGGACTAAAATTACAATGCAACCAATATTTTCTTCACTCTGTCTCCGTTATTCCTTCCCTATTTATTTGTATCTTTCTTCTCTTTGTCAAAACTACGTTTACAACAGAATTTTATTCATCTTTTAAAACTCAAGACAAATTTTAAACTAAAATTACAATGCAACTATATTTTCTCCAAATTTTGTCTCCATTCTTTCTTTGATATTTATTTGTATCTCTCTTCTTTTCGTCAAAACAAAGCTTAAACCGGAGTTTAATTCACTTTATAAATCTTGAAATTCCAAAATTTTTATCTAAAATTAAAATTACAAAGCAACTATATTTTCCTCAAAACTCGCTCTCTGTTATTCCTTTGCTATTTATTAGTATCTTTCTTCTCGTAATCAAAACTAAGTTTATGTCAGTTTAATTCACTTTCTAAAGCTCAAAATTTCAAAATTTTAAAACTAAAATTACAACACGTCTATATTTTCCTCAAACTCTTTCTCTATTTATTTGTATTTTTTTTTCCTTCATCGAAACTAAGCTTATAATTTAATTAACTTTTCAAAGTCCGAAATCTCAAACTAAAAACACGAGTATACTTAAAAAAGTAAAAAACTCCGTGGCATCGTACCTGACGCCGGCCTGGGCGGCGAGGTGCATGACGTGGGTGAAGGCGACGACCTCGAAGAGCTTCTTCAGGAGAGCGGAGTCGTTGATGTCGCCTTCGACGACGAACACGCCGGTCCGGTCGAGGAGCGCCTGGCGGGCGCGCTTCAGGGACGGGTCATAGTAATCGTTGAAGTTGTCGAGGCCGAGAACACCGTCGCCGCGGCGCTTGAGGGCCGAGGAGACGTGCGTGCCGACGAAACCGGCGGCGCCGGTGACGAGGACGGAGATGCCGTTGCGGGAGCGGACGCGGGCGGAGGAGCGGACCCGCTTCTCCCAGGCGGGCCCACCCCAGGAATAGGTACGGAGAGATCTTCTAGAAGGATCCGAGGAGAAAGATGAAGAGGAAGAAGAAGAAGGGGATTTGAGGAAGAAGAGGAAGATTAGGGCGAGAAAAAGGAAGGACCAGAAAGTGAGCTTGGCGAGGGAGGAATGCCATTGCCAGCGGAGGAGCCGGTGGTGGTGGTGGTGGATGTAAGGGGATTTGTCCATCTTGAACTTGCCTGGTGTGGAGGGAATGTTGTCAAGGTGTGACATTTGCTTCATTGTTTTCACATTCAAATCCAAAGCTTGGGGCTTTTTGTTTATTTTTTTTAATCACCTCACAATGTGGATTGATTTATTGATTGATTGATTTTTGATTTGGAATTAGGGTTAGGGTTTGAAGTTTGGGGAGGTGGATTTGGCTGTGTGGTGGTGGTGGTGGTGATGTCAAGGATAAGGGAAGTGAGAGAAAAGAGGAGAGAGAGAATGGTGTTTTTGGGTGGTGGTGGTGGTGTTTGTGTTTGTCAACTTTTTTGGTTCTTTTCCATGTTGTTGTTTGTTTGAGGAAAATGTGAAAATGGGAAATGGGAATCTTCTGGTTTCTTGCAGGGATGGGTTGGGGTTGGTGTTGGTGAATGGTGAATGGTGAGTGGTGAGTGGTGAGTGGTGATGGTGGTGGGGGTGGGGGTGGTGATGGAGTTGTGTTTATAGCTCTACATAAAGCAAGAGATGAGATTAAAGTCTTGATTTCTATTAAGCATTGCTAATTTGCTAATCATCTTTGTTTGTGTGAGAAAGGCCTTTTGTTTTTGTATTTGCTTTTTGCTTTTTTTTTTTCCTTTTACTTTTTGGCTTAGCAATGGAAATGAAGAAGATGCAAAGAATCTTGGAAATTACTTAAATGGGTTTGAATTTATTCTTTGAAAAAATACAATGGTTGAATTATATTGTTTATTGTTTAATTTTTTATAAAGTGTTTTTTTTTTTGTTAAATGAAAGGAGACATTATTTTGATTGGTTGGGAAACCTTGAATTTGGGAACTTTACACTCATACTAACCTCAATTTATTTTAGGATATTTCGGGGCATCTATATTTAGGGAGGACTTAATTTTGGGATTTGAGGATGTTGGGGTTTGTGGTTTGTTGGAGATGGTGTGGATGTGATTTTGAGGCTAATTATTAAGGGGTTCTTAGTTTTCCCAACATTGAAAGGTGTGAAAGATTTGTGGGGTTTGGGACTTTGAGTTCTCTCATTAAATTCAGATTTGTGTTGACTACTAAGGTCTATAAACAGGCAATTCACAATTAAAATTGTAGAAAGATAAAATAAAAAACTTGTAATAATCAATAATTAAGGTTTAAATCTTTACTCGGATCGTTTCATAAATTTCTGCTCAAATCACTCGTTGTAATAATGTAATTTTTTTTTCTCTTTCCAACATTTAGTTGTTCATTAGAAACAGTATGGGATCTAGAATAATTACCATACACTAAAATAAATATTTCTTTTATGAGAAAAAATATTTCTTTTATGAGAAAAAAAATATTTCACATAAAATTTTAGTTTCCTCCTTATTTTAGGCAAAAGACCCTTTTTTAAGTAGGGTGTATATTGATTAGCAAAAAAAAAAAAAAAAAGTAGGGTGTATATTGAAATTTGCTATGTATGTTTATTTATATTACTTTGTGTCATTTTTCTTATTTCAGTTATTAGAATTTTCGTTGGTAAAAGTCATGATTAAGGTTTGGACATTTGCCAACAAAAAGTGATTCCATTCTATAATTATGCTGATGTACAACAATACTTACATAATCATGTTCTCTTTCATGGCAATTAATATTTGAAGATTGTATTTATCTGCTTTAGTAGCTCAAAAGGTTTTGATTCAAAACTAGAAGCATCATTTTTAAGGGGCAAAAACAAAGTACTTTAACTTGGCATTTTTGCAGACGTTTACATTTTTTAAGTTCCATGTTTCTGCCTGCTACGCTTTTCTGCTACAAATATGAGGAGGTCCTTGATGAAACTCCATTAAATGTGTTGCATATATATATATATATATATATATATATATATATAGATAAAGTCTTCCGATCCGGTATCTGCACATGTATATTTTTTTAAAAAAATAAATATTTTTTCACATTATACATATTTTAAGAGAAAATATACATATTTTTAAAAAAAATATACATGTATCGTTTTAATTTAGTGCCGGATTAAAGACAATTTATATATATATATATATAGTACCGGATTATAGACAATTCATATATATATATATATGTACACACACTTTGCTGCCAATTAAATGTGTTACACTGTATAATTCTGATTTACTCTAATCTAAAGTTGTCATAAGCTTTAGCTTGGGACACATTGTTTCATGCTTATCATTTAGTGATAGTACAACTAAGAAATGGACAAAAACGTGGCTGTAAAAGTTGAGCAATATTTTTTCTGAAAAAAAGGACAACAATGTATACATATTGCATATAATTTATCAGGAAGAACAGCTCAAAAGAAGTCCAGGTAATGACAGTCTGTTCACTCATTCACGTAGTACAATGTTACACTTTCTCCTCTTTGACCTCATAATGGAGCATTAAATTCCAAGTTTAACAAATAAAAACAACTGTCCTTTATTTTTAGCTAACTATTTTCCTTTTTATTTTTGTTTTTTATTTTTTATTTGGTATTTATGAGACATCTCATCTCATGTGGAGAATAAAGAGTTGCGAGTTAAATTTAGTAAGCACTTGTAGTGCAAAACAAGCTTTGAATTGAGGACAAAAAGGATCCTCTTGCCAATAGTCCTATATTGGAAACTTAAATTGCAATTTTATGTTAGGCTCTAGCTAGCATCATGTGGGTGGGTGAAGCTAAACATTACTGTACAGGATCACAAGCTCAAAAACAGTATTACTTCATCTCAAAGCTCAATAGAAGTCGATATAAAAAGAAGAGTAATGATAAAGAAAATTAATACCAAAAATTATGACCCACATTTCCCACATTACACTCATCATTATAATATTCATCAACCTTTAAACCAAAACAACAAATGGCCCACCCTTTTGGAAAATTTTGACCATCCACATGATCAATTCTCTTCATTCCCTCAACATATTATCCACAAATAAAATACGCTCTCTTTAATTTCTCAAAAACCAACTCTAAACAGTCAAATCTTCTCATTATCTTTCTTCTAGATCTCAGTTAGAACAAGCTGATTATAAACGGCAGAAAATTATGTCTACTCTAGAGCTTCAGTTATATTGTTATAAAATGGATTAATGTCTTTTCTTGTTCCTTTTTTCAAGAGAGAGAAAAAAAAAAGTAAAAAGTGTGGCATTAATTTCTCCGCTTCCACCACCACAGCCCCATGTGAATCTGATATAAAAAAAGACAGAGGGAACATGTCCTATTATTAGTCCTTTTCTTTAATAAGCAGGCATCATGTTCCATGCCCTGCTAGTTATAGTAAGCTGGACCATTGGCATATGAAAATTTAATATTTCGAGATGAGCTCTAGTTTTTGTCAACTAATGGCATTACAAGATCACGGAAATTCTCATTATAAAGTAGATCCAGGACGGTGCTGCTGCCAGAGACCTATACATTAACAAAAGTTTTCTACACTCGAGATCATTGCAGATGTGGAATTTGCCCCCCACAAGTTTATTTTAAAAAAGGAAAAAAAATAAGGGAAGTTCTGTAGATCTTACAACAAAAATAACTATGAGAAACAAACAAGAAGATTATACAACTCTTAAGAGAACAATGACAAGCTCAACTTGCAAAGTATAGTCAGCCAAAAATCACAACGCAATATTATATGACAAATGAAAAAGGGAATTGCTTGCCTTCCCACTGCTTTGGTTGCGATGTTGGCAGCCAATGCTATTGCTCTCTCTCTCTCTCTCTCTCTCTGAATGAATCTTTAACAATATAGACGTTTAGTGCTTTGTAAATATCTTGAGGACGTCAAAGTAATCGGGGAAAGTTTTTCGGGTGCAACCCGGATCCTTGATGGTAACTGGGACGTCTCCGCAGGCAGCAAGGGAGAATGCCATGGCCATCCTGTGGTCATCATATGTGTCTATAGCCGCTGTATTTAACTTCTCAGGTGGGGTGATCACACAGTAATCTGGTCCTTCCTCAACTGTTGCTCCCAACTGGAATATTATATCCCCATATGTCAAGGATACAGAACTATCAACCATGGTATAATAAGGCATAGGAAATAATAAGTGCATAAAAAGCCACTAAAATCTAACCTTCCTGAGTTCTGTGCAAATGGCAATCATTCTCTCCGTCTCCTTGACTCTCCAACTTGCCACTGGGAATTACAAAAAAAGAAAGAAATCAAGGGTGGCGTCTGTTACACGATAATGTTTTTAACTAGTGGTCCTCGAAGAAAGACGGAACATATTTGGTTGTTGTTCTTTTTGCTACTTTAAATTTCAGATAAATAAACAGATTGATTTGGTAATTTATTAGTTTATTAGTTTTGGCTAGATATGAACCTAAGACCTATACTGACCTATCCATCTGTTCCCGTTTACCACATACAAACCAAGAAAGTAAAAGCATAATACAATTGCCAGAATAAATGCAAAAGCATACCATCTCTTATAGCAGTGGGGCCATCAGCAAAAAGAGCAACTACAGCGAGAGTCATGGCAACATCAGGCATTTTGTTCATGTTGACATCAATGGCTTTCAAGTGTTTTCTTCCGGAAGAATCTCGTGGCGGTCCAGTGACAGTGACGCTGTTCTCTGTCCAGCTAACTTTAGCACCCATTTTCCCAAGAACTTCAGCAAATTTTACATCTCCCTTGATAAACACCAATGATTATATGTGAGTTGACTTGCTTTTTGTATCTATTTTCTCAATATGTTTTCACAAGGAAAAGAACTTGTGCAAAGGAGAATGGCCTTAAACTCATGTATATAGAATGACCAGATTCTAAAAAATAATAATAATAACCATTATACGGTGTAGCCAAAATACCTGTAAACTACTTGTCCCGCAACCTTCAACAGTCACAGTCCCACCAGTTACTGCAGCACCAGCTAGGAAGTAACTAGCACTTGAAGCATCGCCTTCAACGTAAGCATTTCCAGGAGATCTGACAGATGATTTTTCAACTCATTACTCTTGATTCAACCAGATATACAAAGTTGTGCAACAATATATTAAAGAAACCTACTTGTACTTTTGACCTCCTCGAACTAAGAAGCGATCCCAGCTATCAGTGTGTTCAACACTAACCCCAAACCGCTCCATCAACTTCAATGTCATCTCAACGTAGGGAATCGAGATTAGCTTATCAACAATCTCAATTTCAATGTCTCCAAGAGCCAAGGGAGCTGCCATAAGCAAAGCAGTCAAATATTGACTGCTAACTGATCCAGAAAGCTTCACCTGCAAAGGGTAAAGCCATTTGTTGTGGATCAAAATGATAAACTAAAATAAGAGTTGTGAAACATTATTCAAAATAAGTAGTAACATTAATGGTCTCTTCCAAATATAATGTTCGATAATTAGAAGAGTCAATACTAAAACAGTCAAAGAAAACTCATTTATATCATCTCAAACCACTTAGTGCAAACAATCAACATCTTCCGAATTATAATATTCGATAATTAGAAGAGTCAATACTAAAACAGTCAAAGAACACTCATTTATATCATCACAAAGCCACTTGTCGAAGACTTGGGGTTTTTTAAAGTTAGGAAATTATCTCTTAAGGAGATTATCATTCCAAAAGTTAGGCGTTATCTCTTGCTTGATTCTGTTTTTAAATTTAGAAATCCGGATAGAATGTTTGTTCAGGTCTGGATAAGGATGACTCGGAATCCAATTAGGATTTCATGATTAGGTTAGATTTTCTAAGTTAGTTTTATGCCTATAAATAGCTTCTAAAGTCCGCATATTAATAATAAGAAAGTAAGTTCTTTTTTTTCGAAAAAACTACATGGTATCAGAGCTAGCTCTTAAGTTTTAATGGCAAAGACTGCCATGACCGGAGCAAGTAAGACTTCTGCTTCTTCAAGAGATTCCGCAGAGAATGAGCAGTCCAAAACCACTGTCATGACCAGCAACACAGATCCATTAGCAGCATATGCAAATCCTTCTCTTCAGATCACTGTTCACAAATTAAATGGCAAGAATTACCTGGAGTGGGCTCAGTCCATGAAGCTCGCAATTGATGGAAGAGGGAAACTTGGCCATTTAACCGGAGGTAAAAAAACCAATAGTGGGTGAACCGAATCTGAAGGTATGGCGATCCGAGAACTCTTTGATAATGGCGTGGCTCATCAACTCCATAGAGTCGGCTATTGGGAAACCCCATCTATTCTTACCAACCGCCAGAGATATGTGGGAAGCTGTACGTGAGATGTACTCAGACCTGAAAAACTCATCACAAATCTTCGAACTAAAGACGAAGCTGTGGCAATCCAGGCATGGAGATCGAGATGTCACAACATACTACAATGAGATGGTGACTTTATGGCAAGAATTGAATTTGTGTTATGAAGATGAATGGGATTGTCTTACTAATAGTGAAAAAGAGAGGACAATGATCGAGTTTACATGTCTCTAGCAGGACTCAATCAAGAATTAGATGAAATAAGAGGAAGGGTCTTAGGAAAAAACCCTTACGATCTATCAGAGAAGTGTTTTTAAAAGCTAGGAGAGAAGAGGCTAGGCGAAGAGTAATGCTCAAAACCCAAGAACCGAAGCTCAATCCTGAAGCAGAAAGTTCGGCTCTAGTCTCTAGAGGACTTGATCTGGAGGAAGAAAAGAAAAAGAAACCATGGTGTGATCACTGCAAAAAACCATGGCATACAAAAGAACATGTTGGAAACTTCATGGCAAACCGAAGAATTTTAAAAAGAAGAATGGAGGTGATGGCAAAGCATTCCAAACCGTGAGTGAGGATTCTCAAAGGGAGCAAATCAACTCGGAAATAACTCAGTTCACAAAGGAACAACTAGACCATCTGTACAAACTCTTTCAATCTCTACAATTTTCAAATTCTTCTTGTTCTTTAGCTCAAAAGGGTAATTATCTCATTACAGCTCTCTCTAGTATAAAATCTAATATGTTTTGTCCATGTGTTATTGACTCTGGAGCCACATATCACATGACTAGCTCTTCAAAACTGTTTTCATCCTACAAACCGTGTGCAGGGAATAAAAAGATCAAAATTGCAGATGGATCCTTTTCAGCCATAGCTGGAATAGGATCAGTCAGCGTTTCTCCATCTCTCACACTTCATAATGTCCTCCATGTTCCAAATTTGTCTTGTAGCTTATTGTCCATAAGCAAAATAACTCATGATCATAAGTGTCAAGCTAATTTTTATCCATCTTATTGTGAGTTTCAAGAACTAACCTCGGGGAGGACGATTGGCAGTGTTAGAGAGATTGGTGGATTTTATTTCTTTGAAGATGGATCCAAATTAAGAAGACCGACACAGTACTTTTCTTGAGTCTATTTCTATTACTAGTAGGGATGAAATAATGATGTGGCATTATAGGTTAGGCCACCCTAGTTTTCAGTATTTAAAACATTTGTTTCCAAACTTATTTAGCAATAAAAATCCATCTTCATTTCAGTGTGAATTTTGTGAATTAGCTAAACATCATCGTACCACATTTTCATTACAACCATACAAGGCTTCAAAACCTTTTTCCTTAATACATACATAGTGATGTATGGGGACCTTCACGGATCTCAACACCATTGGGAAAGAGATGGTTTGTCACTTTCATAGATGATCACACAAGGGTAAGTTGGGTTTACTTACTAAAAGAAAAGTCAGATGTGGAGGTGTTCAAAATTTTTTACATAATGGTGATGACTCAATTTCAAACACAAATTCAAGTTTTTCGAAGTGATAATGGAAAAGAGTATTTTAACAAGATTTTGGGAAAATTCTTCCTGGAAAAAGGCATAGTTCACCAGAGCTCGTGTAATGACACCCCCCAATAAAATAGAATAGCTGAACGAAAGAATAAACACCTCCTAGAAGTAGCTAGAGCACTACATTTCACAAATAAGATCCCGAAGTATCTTTAAGGGAAAGCTATCCTCACAGCTACCTACCTTAGCAATAGGATGCCAACTAGGGTGTTAAAACTCAAAACACCATTACAAGTATTTTCAAGTTGCTATCCAACATCTAAGTTATCATCTACACTTCCTATAAAAATTTTTGGATGCACAGCCTTTGTACACATTCATAATCATAACCGGGGAAAACTTGACCCTAGAGCTAAAAAATGTGTTTTTGTAGGATATGCACCGACTCAAAAAGGTTATAAATTCTTTGATCCAATTTCTAAGAAAATTTTTGTTACCATGGATGTAACCTTTTTTGAATCTAAACCTTTTTTTGCTACTCATCTTCGGGGGGGAGAGTACAAGTGAAGATGTAACCAAATTAGGAATTAATGATGTTTTTGATGTTTTTGAAATAGATTCAACACATACTCCTAATATTGAGACTGAAAATTCGGATTCACATGTTAAAAAACCGGAAAATATGGATGGAACAAATGATGTTTTACATATTGAAAATTCCAAAAGTCTACTGCCATGTCAAAATCAGAATCTTAGCAGCTCAGAAAATGGGAACAAGACCGGTACTAAGAATACAGATCTCTTGGTCCATTCAAGGAGGAAACTGAATTCAAAGAAACAAGGTCCCGATCCTCTACAAGGCCATGAGTCCGAACTGAGGGAAGAACCAAAACCAGGTAACAATCAATCAGATTCTTTGTTAAATTTCAGTCCCGAGCCCCTTGGTGATTCCATACAGTCTATCCCTAGTGCTAGTACTGAGTCATTTGATGATCTCAATATTCCTATTGCCACCCGCAAGGGTGTCCGGTCATGCACTAAACATCCCATGTCTAATTAAGTGTCCTGTAAGAATCTTTCTCCTTCATTTTTTTTATTTACCTCACATCTCACTTATGTGGAAATTCCAAAGAGTGTACAAGAAGCTTTACAGGTTCCTGAGTGGAGGAAAGCTATTTCTGAAGAGATAAAAGCACTTGAGAATAATTACACATGGGAAGAAACGGATCTGCCGAGAGGGAAGAAAACGGTTGGCTGCAAATGGGTGTTCACCATAAAGTATAATTCTGATGGATCTCTCGAGAGGTACAAAGCACGGTTGGTGGCTAAAGGGTTTACTCAAACCTATGGCGTTGATTATCTCGAGACTTTTGCTCTGGTGGCAAAGCTGAATACCGTGAGAAAGCTGAATACCGTAAGAGTACTTCTTTCAATTGCAGCAACTCTTGACTAGCCGCTTCAACAGTCGCATTTCTAAACGGAGAATTGGAAGAAGAAGTTTATATGGATCCATCGCCTGGATTTGATAAGCACTTTGGTTCTAATGTGTGTAAGCTAAGAAAATCACTTTATGGGCTCAAACAATCCCCAAGAGTTTGGTTTGAACGATCTACTTAGTCTATTAAAAATCAGGGATATGTCCAAGCCTAAAGTGACCACACTATGTTCATCAAGCACTCCGACGATGGGAAAATTACAGTTTTGATAGTCTACGTAGATGATATCATCCAACCTGAAGATAATTCTACTGAAATAAGTCGTTTTAAGGAAAGTCTGGCTTCAGAATTTGAGATCAGAGACTTGGGATCTTTAAAATATTTTCTGAGAATGGAAGTTGCTCGTTCAAAAAGGGGTATTGTTGTCTCACAAAGAAAATACGTCATTCACCTCCTTAAAGAAACAGGAATGAGTAGGTGTAGGCCTACTGATACCCCAATGGACCCTAACCAGATGTTGGGAAATGCCAAAGATGGAGATCCGGTAAATACAACACGATATCAGAAGTTGGCGAGAAAACTAATTTACCTATCTCATACCAAACCAGACATTGCGTTCACAGTTAGTATGGTAAGTCAATTCATGCACTCACCACGTGAAGAACACCTTGAGGCAGTATATCGAATCCTGAGGTATTTGAAAAGCACTCTAGGGAAAGGAATCCTCTTCAAGAAACACAAGCAGAAAACAATTGAAGCATATACAGACGCAGATTGGGTAGGTTCCGTCACATACAGAAGATCTACATCTGGATATTGCACTTATGTTTAGGTAAACTTAGGTGATGTTTGGTAGAGGGATTCGTTCCCTGATTCGAATCATGATTCGTGGTTCGCTACAGTATTTTCTCTCACAAAAAATACACGTAAATCGAAAATGATTCTAATCCATGAACCAAACGGACTCTTAGTCACTTTGAGAAGCAAGAAAAAAAGTGTAGTAGCTCGAAGTAGTGCAGAAGCTGAGTACCGGGCAATGACTCATGGAGTATGTGAAATGTTGTGGTTAAAAAGGATTCTTGAGAAATTGAAAAAACCAATAGAGATGCCTATGAAACTCTACTGTGACAACAAGGCTGCGATCAATATTGCTCACAACCCAGTGCAACATGACAGAATTAAACACGTTGAAATTGACAGACATTTCATAAAGGAGAAGCTAGAAGAAGGTGCTATCTAGAGCCGACAATATGGGTCACGAAACGACGACATGACTCGAAAACGACACGAATTTTATGGGTTAGAGTTGAGAAAAAAGATGTTCGGGTCAGAATCGGGTCGACCTGAAATTGACAGGAAAAACACGGGTCAATTTCGGGTTGGACCTGCCTAACCCGAACACGACACGAAACTCGTAAAAAACTAAAAAATACATATATTTTTCATTTCATATTTTAAATTTTATTATGAACTTGTGATATCATGATAGTTATACTCAAAATCTTATACTATTATTTGCTTAATTTCAATGGATGTTATTGTAATTTAGTGTGTTATGAATTTTAAGTTATTTCTAATATGTAAAAAACTAAATAAAAATATACAATTTTCGTGTCAATTTCGGATTCACGGGTCAATTTCGTGTCACGGGTCATTTTCAGGTCGTGTCGTTTCAACTCGTAAAGTGGTCGTGTCGTATCGTGTTCGTGTTGCGATTTTTAAAAAATTTCGTGTCACGGGTCGTGTTCGGGTTGACTGCAAATTTAAAAAACACGACACGAACATGATACGTGACACGAATTGCCACCCCTAGTGCTATCTATATGCCGTTTGTTCCAAAAACACAACAAATAGCTGATATTCTCACGAAGGGATTATTCAGACCAAGCTTTGAGTTTCTTATCAGCAAGTTGGGCATGATAGATATCTATGCACCAACTTGAGGGGGAGTGTTGAAGACCTAGGGTTTTTTAAAGTTAGGAAATTATCTCTTAAGGAGATTATCATTCTAAAAGTTAAGAGTTTTCTCTTCCTTGATTCTGTTTTTAAATTTAGAAATCCGGATAGAATGTTTGTTTAGGTCCGGATAAGGATGACTTGGAATCCAATTAGGATTTCATGATTAGGTTAGATTTTCTAAGTTAGTTTTATGCCTATAAATAGCTTTTAAATTCCGCATATTAATAATAAGAAAGTAAGTTCTTTTTCTTCTAAAAAACTACACCACTTAATGCAAACCTTACCTTCCCTCCAGGAAGGCCTCCCTTTGCAATTACACGGACAGGGGGGCAGTTTGTGCCAAGGAAACAATCAACATCTGCACCAAGTTGCTTAAGACCATCAACCAAATCTCCAATTGGTCGCTCTCTCATTCGGGGTACACCATCAAGTACGTAGCTGCAAAATATGAAATAAAAGGTTCCTCAAAAGGTAATAATAACACATGAGAAAAATTATCTTACGATATATGCTATCCGGTTGGAAATATTTAAATTTCTAGTGCAATTACCAGTACGGCAAGGGAAACCAAAAGGTATTTCTACATCAAATGAAAGATGGCAGTATAACGCTAGTTATTGTTAAGCCAAAGAAGTTACGTACCCAGATGTAAAAGCTACTTGCCAAAAAGTATACATAACAAGAAGAAATAAAAGCATATATTGTTGAAGAAAGGCAAAATACATATACATATCTATATGTGTGTGTGTGTGTGTGTGTGTGTGTGAGCAGTATCTTATTAAATAGAGAAGGAGATTACTAGCAAAAATTGTTGAAAAGGCAAAGCAGACAGACCTAGAATTTCCACCAGCAACAGTAACTGCTGCTGTCAATGGACGCATTGCTGTTCCAGCATTTCCAAGGAAAAGTTGAATTTCATCCTTTGATTCATTACCCACTGGAAACTGACCACCACTACCTTCGACAATTGCTCGTTTTGTTCCCTTGTCCGCCTCAACACGAAGTCCAAGGGTTTTCAAGGCACCAAGCATGTAGTGAATGTCTTCACTATCTAACAAGTTGTCCAAAACAGTTGTTCCCTGAATTATGAATTGAAAGGAAAAAAGAATTACTGCATGACCGCGCAAGATACTTTACTAGGCTAAAAGAAACACACTAAAAAGTACAAAAATAAGAGGTGAAACAGAAATACAATCAATTGTAAAACAAAAGTGCAAATGAAAAAAAGAAAAAGAACTAGAATAAACTACTTTTATTTTCATCCGACTCTAACCTACCAACTGAAAAGCAAAATAATTTATGCCAAGCAACAGTATAACAGGGAAGGATGTGAAACTAAATACCAACGAAGGCCCTAGGATATACGGATGACTTCCCAGGCCAACTATCTTCTTTTAGTCATTCCGAATGGTAGGCCCCTCCCAAGCCCCAATGGCTTCTTATAAATAAATCATTACAAAAGGGTCAACATTAACCGAAAACCATAAGCCTTGGTGGTAGGCTGGTAGCAACCGCACTATAACCAACCCTGATGGTCAAACTTCAAATCAAAATGCTAGTTTTGAATTCTAAAGCTCGTTGGCTCATTTCGCTCAAAGTTACACCGGGCATGGATACCATTGCAATGACATCATGCCTAGAATACAAGGGTAAATATACCATCCAAATTACAAAACTCTGATAAGGTATGCTTCATTGATGAAGCTGAAATTAACAAGTAAATTTTTCCGAATGAAAACTTGGAATAGTCTTTAAGCAAGACCCCTAATGTTCTCAGCAATCAAATCTATTTCTCATTTACTTCCATTCCAACAGATGAACACGCGTGATGAACTGTGATTGATTACCAACTTGAAAATATGACTTACATAACCCAAATTGATATCAATTCATAAATTAACATAAATTTTAAAAGAAAATTACTTCTTTGTTGCAATTTTCTCACATTTCCCCCCAACTAAACCTATTAGTCAGCTCAAACTAATCCTATTCAAACATGCGAATAAGATGTTCAACGTTCCATATATTCCCATTCCTCTCCAATTTTCCATCTTGATCATAACAATTAGCATTATTATTAATGAACTTTGCACTCAATTTATCACAAAAAAAAAAAAAAAAACCCCAAATTCAATTTCCCATTCCAACAACCAAGTATATACCTCAGAGAGAGCAGCGAGAAGCAGAATCCGATTCGAGAGAGACTTGGAACCCGGCAACTTGACGGTGCCGGAGATATCTTTGATGGGCTGCAGCGTAATCTCCGGAACCTTCGATGGCTTCTCCGCCGTCGCAACCGAAGCCATAACCTGACCGGCCATGGCTCTGCCACCGGCCGTACAACAACCCACGAAATTGTTGTCGAGCTTCAAACTCAGAGAGCTCAAAGAACCCCACAACTTCGATCTCAACGAGATTGAAGAGCTGAAGGATCTGGGTTTGTGAGGGTTTGAGATGTTTGGCAAAGTGGCAGTGTTTTGAGCTCCATTGCTGCATATTTTGCTTACTTGGGCCATTTTTTACCCTCTTTCTCTCTCAAAGTTTCGGTCACTTCTCTCTCTAAGTGGGTGTTTGGATGAATAGAAAGTTGGGGTTTTTAGTGGCTAAGTGGGTGCAGGTGGGAATTGACCCTCTTTCTAAGAGGGTTTACCAACCAAAATCTCTCAGCAGAATTCTTTTCGTTTGGGCAAAATGTACAAATTTCCAAAACTTTGTCTGATTTTTTATATCCAAGACGTCGGGGGGCGAATTTGACCGGTGGTAGTTGGCGATTTTTTGTGCAGAGTTATGATTGTACGTTGTGCTTGGGAGATAGTACCCTTTTGTTCTTAGGGACTAGAAAGAAATAGAAAGATGAAGAGGGGGGTTTTAAAGGAATTATCAACAGATTTGGGTTGGTAAAAAGATGACCCCGTTTTTTTTTTTTTTTTTTTTTATGAGAAGATGACAACGTTTGGTATGGATGATTGCAAGATCACTCATCAATCACCAACCCATTGCAATTACAATCAGTGGGACCCAAGCCTCCAGAGAGAGATAAAGGGGTAGGTAGGTATAATACACTGAATTTTCAATTATAATTTCATTGCTCAATTAATCAGTGAAAAAAAAAAACATTTTTCAATACGTTAATATATCGATTAGTTAAATTTTTTATTTATTAAATTTGTATAAAATTATATAAAAATAAAAAAAATATATTGATAAGTAAAAAAATTTAATCTATTAATACGCTAAATGTATCAAAAAATTTCTCAAAAAAAATATCAAAATGACTTTGGCCATCTAACAATTTAGGAAAACGTTTGTGTTTCAAAATTAATTTTTTAATCATTTTTCTTTACACAAACACATGTATAATATGGCTCAAGGTGACTAATGGGATGTTTATTTTAAAGGTTCGTTCTTAATTTTGAATAATAATTTTTATTTTTTAGAGTGTTTTTCTCTCATAAAAAATTAAAATTTTAAAAATTAAAATCATAAATTATAATTCTGAACTTATAAATCAAACGTCTTATAAGTCTTTGTTGTCGTTAGTTTTTTTTTTTTGTTTGTTTTTCTTTCCTTCAAGAATGATAAGATCTCATTAACTAGCAGGAAAAAAAAAAGGCAAACAAAAGAGCAGCAAAAAAGAGTTGATCAGTTCTTGAAAAATTCCGTTCACTTCGTTGATTCGAGTTTAGAATTCAAGTTTTTCTACAGTAAAAAGCTCTCACAAACAATCACATCTAATTTTTTTGCTACAGTAAAAAGTTTTCACATAAAATCACATCTCAACTCAAATTTTAAACTCGAATCAGCAAAGTGAACGGATCAAAAATAAATGAATAGGACTCGGACCCACAAATCATAGTCGTTTCTCGGCAAGACAGTTGGATTTTGAATGTAGGTCAGAGCGAAAAAGAAGAAAAAAAAATGTTTTTTTGGTAGAGCAGCAGCCAAGAAGTTGGTACGAGTTGTGTACATTTAACAGAAGAAGTAGGTGCCACTTGTGTCATGTAACACACAAGTGGGGTCCCACCCATCAACATTGCAAGACCAAACCTATTAATGGGCCTAACGACCCATCAGGACGAGAACGGCAGGCCTACAAATTAGCAGACTCTATAATGCAGTCCCAGACTCCCAGCCCATTAAAAGGATTACACTTCACCTGCAGTTCACACTCTTTTTTTTTTTTTGTTAGAAGTAATTACACGAAATCATTATTTTTAAAATCCATGTTTAGAATATGTCTTTTAACTCAATAACATTACTAGTATGTCCATTTTATAGTTACTGATATAATATCATTACCAATATACTCTTATTTATGTGGGCGGTATAATTAATTTTAGATGTAGTTAACAAATGATAAAAATGTCATTACGAATTAATTTACAAACTTATGTGCAAATATCACAACTTATGGACATACTACTTTTCATCCATTGAAATATAGACATATATGTAATTAACTCTTTTTGTTAAGTGTTTGTTTACTAATAAAAAAAAATGGGATCAATTATCTTCATGCCTCATGTTTATCAGTTACATAACAATCTAACTAGGTTATAGGTGAAAAAAAAAACTGACTCATGTTTTCATCATCACATAATGAGAATCGGTTTCTTAAATGATAGGAGAGAGAGCCTTAATACATCATCTCTCACTGTTATACGACCACTATCAGTGATTCGTGTTTGATAAAAGGTTGCTACATATTGTCTATCGTTTACACTTTTATCGTCAAAACGACATTGTGTGCAATGAAACGCAGTGCTCCAAACTGTCTATCGTTTACACTTTTATTGCCAAAATGACATTATGTGCAATGAAGTGTAGTGCTCCAAACTGTCTATCGTTTACACTTTTATCGCCAAAACGACATTATGCGCAATGAAGCACAGTGCTCTAAACTGTCTATTGTTTACACTTTGCCTTACGTATACAAGTTTTGTAAGTATCTGTCCCTAAGTAGAGTATAGTTTACGACATATACAAAAAAAAAAAAAAATGCCGCCTTTGACCGTATTCTGTGTAACAATAAATTTAACAGATCCTAGAAAGATGTGATTAATAGCCGACAAGAATATTTATGCAACAATCAACATTAATGCTAATCTTTGAAAGAGCAGTAGCTATAGTTTCAACAAATTTGACTTCTTCCTTTTTTTTAGCAAAAGGGGCCATAAAATCCCACACCCAAAAGGAAAATAAGAAATAAGATTTTAATTAGAGCATAGTCCAGACATCTAAAGCCTTTTTTTTCCCCCCCGTAAAAGTGACAAAGTCTCCTGCATTGTGTATTAGTGTAGCACTTGTCAAAAACGCATATGCCAGGATCAAGAGTCACAAGAGGGAATATGCTAAAACTACTTAACTGAATGTGCCAAATATGCCACAATTCTCAACCATCTGTGGCATTATAAATAAATATTTTAGCGATTATGTCGTTTTTGTAAACTGGGTCCCACTGCCAGCACCAAACTTAACCATGTATTTTTTAGACCAATCGATTAAAGAGGGCAAGAGACCTTTCTTGTTAGTTTTTGAGGGTTGTTAGCCCATACCACACATTTTGAGGAAGTTATGGTGGTATGTGTATCAGACAATATGGATAGCCAAGCTGAGGACAGGAGTTTTAACAACCACAAACTTATCTATATCTCAATTATTTATTTTTTTCTCTCACTAACCATAAGTAGACTGGAAATGAAAGTTTCTTTGCTGGGTCCCATTACTGCGTGGGCAGTGCAAAATGTTTTTGGATGGCTTAAAACCATTATCCAATCCAATTCATTTAGAATACACACAAAACCACTTTTCCATCTTGGGACAAAGAGCTTACCCTCTTTCATCCATTAGTTTATTGATTTTTATTTATATTTTTGTGGTGGGTTGGAACCATTTTCCTCGTATTGCCACTCAATTTTCACAAATTGGAAAATACTTTCGGAGATAATAAAATATATTGCTTGAAGTTATAACTTTGTGAGAGGGAAAGAAAAATATTTGATATTCGATAAAAACATATCCAAATACTCAATAGTAGGGATATTAATAGTAGAACAAATGCTTTAACTATAAACTGAAAAAAAAAATAAAAAATAAAAATAACCTGCGTGAAGAAAGTGATGTAGGAAAGTGAACCTCATTAATCAACCATAGAACATTACAAAACTCAAGACAGGTCCGAGAGTTGTTATAAAATACATAAAAATTCTTACCCCCTACGCTCTCTTTTTGATTCATGTTGCTCTATTGAAGAATTGAAAGCAACAAAAGAAAATTAATTATGTTTTATTGAAACAAAGGAGACCTGTTATCGAACAAATCTCTGGGATATGGCCTCTTCACCGCGGTCTCCAACCCAAACCGAAACCGAATTGCCAATAGCAAAGTTCAAAGTTCAAAGTTCAAAGCTGAGCAGCCTAGGAAACTTGTTTAGCCGCTGCAATGACAGCCTCTGGTGTGATACCGAACTCCTTGTATATTTTTCCTGCAGGTGCACTTGCTCCGAAGCTGTTGATTCCAATGGCCTTCCCTTTGCTTCCAACAATTTTCTCCCAACCAAATGTTGATCCTGCCTCAATGCTGACCCTAGCTGATACGGCCGCGGGGAAGACGCTTTCCTTGTAAGCATCTGATTGCTCATCAAAGAGTTCCCAAGAAACCAAGGAAACAACTCTAACAGCCTTTCCTTCCTTTCTAAGTTCCTCAGCCGCTTTAGCAGCAATTTCCAATTCAGAGCCAGTCCCAATCAAAATGACATCTGGTTTGTTACCTGAAGAATTGTCAGATACGATGTAGCCACCCTTCTCAACTCCTTCAATGGAAGTTCCAGGAAGCTGGGGCAGCTTTTGACGAGAGAGGGCAAGAATAGATGGTCTCTTCCTGTTAAGGACTGCAACCTTGTATGCCCCAGCGGTTTCGTTTCCATCAGCTGGCCGGAGCATCAATACATTGGGCATTGCCCGGAAACTTGCCAAATGCTCTATCGGTTGGTGGGTTGGTCCATCTTCTCCAAGACCAATCGAATCGTGGGTCATCACATATATAACTCCTGCTTCACACAAGGCAGAAATCCTAATAGCAGCTCTCATGTAGTCGGTGAAAACAAAGAAAGTGGCACAGTACGGAAACAGGCCAGGGCTGTGAAGGGCAATTCCATTGCAGATGGCTCCCATACCATGCTCCCTAACACCAAACCTCACATTGCGTTCCTCTGGGGTATCCTTTTGGAAATCTCCAAACATTTTAAGAAGGGTCATGTTTGAAGAAGCAAGATCTGCACTGCCACCAAGAAGACCAGGAAGAACCTTTGCAAGGGCATTAAGGTTTTGCTGAGACAAATTCCTGGTGGCATCAGCTGGGCTCTCCGGGGTGTATGTCTGAAAAATTGGGATCACGGGATCTTATGAGATGACACGTGCTCCAAATAAAACAATAATTCACTAAATTAACCGGTCACAAAGTTTAACTCAGGAACAGCAAAGAGGAGTCAGAAAACTTATGAGCCCGAGTTCTATTGAAACCAAGCAAAATGGTGAAAATAGAATGTGGGCGAAATGTGTAATCTAATGCCATTCAATTCTTGCCAAAAGATAATCATGCTCGTTTGCAGATAGCCCACTGCCTACAAAACATAAGGCAGTAGATACTTGACGAAAGAAGATAAACAACCAAAAAGAAAGTCCTTTACTCACCGGAAGTGCTTTCTCCCAACCAGCAGGTAGCTCACCGGTGATGATGCTTTTCAGCTCCGCAGCTTCTTCACTGTACTTCTTCTCATATTCAGCAAACTTGGCATTCCATTCAGCTTCAAGGGCGGCACCTTCAGGGGTATGGCGGCTCCAGTGCCTGAGGGGGAAAAAAAATCCATGTGCTCTCAGTATTTAATCATAAAAATCTGATAAAAGAGATGATCACTTATGAATGCTTCTCACTGTTTAACATCCTCAGGCACATGGAAAGGCTCAAATGGCCATCCGAGGTTCTTCCTAGTAGCATCTACTTCCTTGGCACCCAGTGCACTACCATGTACACTGTATGAGTTTGCCTTGTTTGGGGATCCATAACCAATAGTCGTGGTGACCTGTGGACACACAGAACAAATGAGAGAAAAAACCAAATAAGCAGCTCGACTTATTTCATCCACAGATCACTAAAAAAATTCCTTCAGAAACTGCACGTTTTGTCAATCACTTTCAAATGCAAGATATGCCAAACAAACAAGTCAATAGGTGCATAAAGTTTCTAACCTTGATCAAAGTGGGTTTGTCCTTGACAGCCTTTGCTTCCTTAATGGCAGCCCGAATGTCATCATAGCCAGTGTTTCCATTCTTCACCCAGATAACGTGCCACCCAAGAGCCTCGAAACGCTGGCCCACATTCTCTGTGAATGCAATGTCTGTGTCTCCGTCAATCGAAATGTGGTTGTCATCATAGAAAGCTATAAGCTTCCCAAGTCCCCAGTGCCCGGCAAGGGAACATGCTTCATTTGAAATCCCCTCCATTTGACAACCATCACCCAATATAGCGTACCTATAATAAACCAAAACCAGGCCCACAAATGTTAACCCAGATATGATACATTTCGAACCTAAACATGAAAAACAAACAACAAAATCTAGCATTAGGTAGTTGTTTTACGTGTAGTGGTCAACAATCTCATTGTCTGGCTTGTTAAAACGAGCAGCCAAGTGTTTCTCAGCAAGAGCCAAACCAACAGCATTGGCAATACCTTGACCAAGTGGACCTAACCAATAAAACGAAACAAATCAAATAAACCACCAAACATGTCATCAAACTACAATATATATACACACACACACATGCATATGTATATATGTATACGAAAATGTATATGACCCCAGAATCTAACCTGTTGTCACTTCAATACCAGGCGTCTCAAAGTTCTCAGGGTGTCCAGGAGTCCTGCTTCCCCATTGTCTGAAATTCTTCAAGTCTTCTTCCTAATAATTTAACCAAAAATCATTGCCCCTTAATCCAAAAAGAAACAAGACATGTATATATTCATTAAAAATAAAATATTTTTGTTTTTCTCAATAATGATATTAATAAACTCCAATTCACTTTCTGCTAAAATCTTCACAAAAGCAGATCTATGAAAGAAGAAAAGCAGGAAATGACCGACCTTGACGCTATCGTAGCCGGCAAGGTGGAGGAGAGCGTACTGGAGCATACAGCCATGGCCGGCGGACAAAACGAAGCGGTCGCGGTTGAACCAGTAGGGGTTCTTAGGGTTGTACCTCATGACCTCGTCGTAGAGGACGTGTCCCATGGGCGCGCAACCCATGGGAAGCCCCGGGTGACCGGAATTGGCCTTCTCGACGGCGTCGATCGCCAGGAACCTGATCGTGTTGATCGACTTCTCCACCAGCGACGTCTCCGTCGTCTTGTCCAGCGTCTCCACCGCCGCCGCCCTCACGGCTCCACCTCGGCTCGATTTCGCCCGGCGGCGCGCCATCCTAGAAGGCGAAGAAGAGGAGGTTGACGACGATTTGAGGCCGGAGAAGGTGGGGATTGTGATAGAGGAGAGAGAAACGCGGTCAGAGGAAGGGTTGGAGCCATGGACGGAGATGGCTCGGGCCAGGAGGGCTTGGGATAGAGTAAGGGAAGACGAGGAAGCCATTGTTGTGGTTGGTGAGCTTTGGGCCTCTTACCACTCGGAAGAAGAAAACAGTGTTTTTTTAGAGAGAGAGAGAGAGAGAGAGAGAGAGAGAGAGAGAAAGAGGTGTTTTCTTTAGTTATATCGCCCAAGAATGAAAAGAAGGAGAGATAAAAGAGCTCCTCGTTTACATAGGAGACAGGTGGAGAACAGAAGCTTGCCGCTGGATCAAATGAAGGGGCAATCTCCACCGCTGGCTAAGGCTTAGGCATTAGAAAAATGCTCTGCCTTTCATTTTCCTCTTTTTTTTTTCTAAAAGGAAAAAAGAAAGAAAATCAACTTTTTCCCCTTTTTTTTTTCTCGTTCATGTATTTTTGACTTTTAGTTTTAGTATTATTTTATTTTTTTTCCCTGTTAAGCTGTGAAAGCTATGATTTTGTTGTTTTCTGTCTACTAGAGTAAAAGGTCATTTTTTCTCTTTCTAATTTTATTTTTCAAGTTGTTTATTTTCACTATGTAATATTGACTCTGGCTTCTCTGTTGGACGCCCATGTGTGACGTGTGGCCGTGAAAAGGTTAGGACTTGATGTTACCAATTATTTTCACCTTTTCTTTATTTTTATTATATTTTTCGTTTACGCAATAGCTATCTATATATGGATCAGTTAGGGTTGGCAATTCGTGTTCGCGGGCCGTGTTCGGATTGACACGATTACAGCACGATATGATTATAGTGAGTACGAACACGACACGATTAATAAACGTGTCAAAAATCCAAACACGAACACGACACGCTAATAACACGGTTAACACGCCACGACACGCGAACACGATTATTAAACGTGCCGTGACGGGCCGACACGAAAAAAACTCGTTTATGACCCGTTTATGACCCAACTAGCAAAAATAGTGAATTTTATATTGTATTCAAAACTATATTAATTGACTACTTAATATCACTTATAGTTAAATTCATGCATAATAGCCAACACATATTAAAATATCTAAAACATCACTTATGACATATGTTTCAAAACATACCAATTACTAAACATCTAAAGAAGTTTGAAAACATAACCAAGTACATTTAAATAAGGGTAAAAACATAACCAAAGATTTGAAAATTTAAGTGCATAAAATATAATCAACCATCTACAAGTCCATCTACAAATCATCCATCTACAAATCCATTGGCATTTTGTAATTTTATCAACATGCCATAACTTATTTAAAAGTTAGAGTGTTATATTAAGTTAACTCTTTTATCAAACACCCTTCATGCAAACAAGAGAATATAAATAAAACGGGCTGTGAGAGAATGAGAGAATGAGAGAGAATGAGAGAAAGAGAATTAGAGAAGCTAGGGTTTTATCTTAAAAAAATATAAATATATATGGATTAATAAACGTGTCGGTTCGGGTCGTGTCGTGTCGGCCTGATTATGGCCCGATTACGGCTCGTATAACTAAACGGGTTAAGCGTGTTAAACGGGCTGGCACGAATCCAACCCGTTTATTTTCGTGTTATTTGTGTCAGCCCGTTAACGACCCAATTAATAATTGTGCGATCTAAACCCATTTATCTCGTGTCATTTTCGTGTCGTTTCATCGTGTCGTGTCCGAAATTGCCGGCCCTATGGTCCATGGATAGCTGAGTTTTTAATGGTTATTTTACATCGTGTTTATCTATAATAATTAAAATTTGATGACGTGATCATATATATGTAGATGAGATTTTAGTTATAAATTTTGATGAACTATATTTTTTATTATAAAATTTATTATAATTATTTTATTAATATCATATGATTAAAAATTGATAGATAAATTTTAAAATAATCATTAAAACTACACCTATATATAAAATATGGAATAAAATGTAGATGAATGGAATTCATATTCAAGATTTATCACTATGAATAATAATGGAATTGTTTTTTTTTTTTTTTAAATAACTTTGTTAATAGAGGCATGTATTGGTTGTTAACTACTAGTGACTATTATCAATTCTATTATACTCTACCTTTATAATATTTATATCTCAAGGAAGAACAATAGATTTGAAAAGGTAATTGCAGATGCAGTCTAGTAATATTTTATATATATAATGAATGTTGAGATTTAAAATATATGTAAAAGTAGTAACAGATATAGTTTCGTAATAATTTAATATCTTTAACATTATGGTCTAGATTTTTTTTTTTAATTAAAAAACATTATGCTCTAGAATTCAAATCTCTAGCCTCAAGTTTTTTTTTTTTTTCAAACAATATAAAAGAATATATGCATACATACATACATATATATATATATGTATGTATAAAAGGAGGTTAAGGCTGCTAATCTAATGCAAAACAAGATAATGATATTTTTTTAAAACAGGCACTGATTTCATAATCATTAAAATAATGCCAATTAAGGTTAGGTTTCATATCTTATGAGTGGGTAGTTGGAAAGTGGGGAGAATGCAAAAAGTTTGGTAAAGGGTTGGTCAATTATATCAGGTGATTTGCTTTGGTTTGAAGATTTGTTTTGTTACATTTAAAGAAACTGTAGAAGTTGGTAAAAGGAAAGAGGCAGCCCTTTTGACATTCAAACTTTAGCGTCACACATTACATAAAACTTTTACTTATTTGAGCAATTCAATGTGACGTGTAGTAATAATAATAAAGTGTCTCCACAAATGGACACACCACAGCTGCATTCATCCCCTTGGAGTAGAAATATATGATGTGAAAAAAAAAAAAAAAAAAAAAAAAAAAAAAAAAAAACCCCAACTGTTGGCTAAAAGCTACGCAGAGAGTATGTCAAATTAGCCAATCTCATGTAAAGTTGCTTTATACAAATCACTATGTATGTTTAATACTCTTAGATTGCTTCATACAAATCACCATGTATGTTTAATAATCTAGAAACGGTAAGGCATCCCGGCATGGATCCTTCACGAAGTAGATTGCCATATACTCCACCCATCTCAGTGGAACTCGCCCTGAGACCTCATCGAGAAGAACAACCGACCATATCGCCTTCAATTCTTCAATCTCACATCAATTTGATTCGCTTATGGTTGGAAGCAGAATTCCGAATCCCTTTACCGGTGACAGAAAATGGTGCTGATGCCGATCGTAGAGAGGGTGACTTGTCTATGAATGCATAGCGATCATCCCCATTCCAGTACAAGATGACCCGATTTGTACAAGAATGTGACCAGCTGTCGCCTAAGAAGCACCACAAGATCAAACCAGAAATATATCAAACAACGGACAAGTTGACGATGGAAAATTAATAGCTCTCAAGTTGAAGGCAGGAACTGAGAACTGTACTTACCTAGTGCAAGTGCCAACTGAAATGAACCTTCCATGTACTTTGTGGTCACTTGGTTAAAAATAACAACCTGCCATAACAAAGAGATGGAGAAAAACGAATTAGAAAATGGATAACTGTAGAGTGGCAAGAAGAGTACCCCAAGCTTAACAAAACAATAACACAAGAAGGCTATTACTAGCCAACTACCATGAGATAGGAACCCCAATTCTGTAACTCAAATAGAACACAACCCAAGAATTTATGTAAAAATATCAACCATAGTTGGATTTCTTGAATGGTCAACCAAACCAATCCAAAAGATTTGCTTCACGGACAGGCCAAGTGTAACTATACCAAGAAGGAAGCCTTTCATAACAAAAGGGGGAGTAAATGTTTGAGAGCTGTGACAATTTTGTTGCCCTCAACAATAAACTAGGAGCCCGTTTGGAGAATGGTTCAAACCACCCTAAATTGGTTCAAATAGTATTTTCTCTCACAAAAAATTTGACTTTAAAAAGTTATGCTACAGTATTTTCTCTCATAAAATTTAAATTTTGGTTCAAACCACCTGGTTTGAATCCACCTTCCAAACAAGCCCTAGAAATGGCATCTTTAAGAGTTTAAGTAGGTAAAACGTTCACCAACCTGTTGCAAATTATAGAGTGTAACAATCTCCTGCTTACCGCTAAGTTATAGGTTTTTGCAAGGTTCATCAGCTTCAGGGCCATTCCACTAAGTAACCGAGTCCTCAGAGCTAAGTCCTCAAAATCTTGGCGGAAATGGAAAGTAACACTATCAACAATAACAATCTTAACCTGCACAATTTTTGGATACAAAATTAGATCCTCAAAGATGATAAATAATATGGCACAAAGAGGAAAATGATAGGAAAACATAATCTGATCATTGTAAGTTTGATTCAAATGTGTCCAAGAGAAAGAACAAAGACAATACTTGCATATAGTAAGGCTACCTAATACCTACATCTTTATGCGCTGAGATGAACTTGTCTAAGTAACTTATCACAGCCATTTGCTCGGTGTAACTGCAGATGCGGAAATAGTAAATGCTTTCCAAGAGATCATTAGGCTTAAGATTTACTTGGCATTTACGATGTTCCTTACGTAAAAGATCATTGTATTCCACCATGTCTAATACCGAAGCTTCAGCAATTTGCAGAGCCCGCTCCACCATAAAGCTGCCCTCAGTATCTATAAGTTTCACGCAAGATAGTATTCAAAAACATAAAATCCAATTTGAAACCAAAGCAAAAGGGAATATTCAATGATACTTAACCTATATATACTGCCTTTCCTCCCAGGCCACCTAAATCAACTGGGATTTGAACGTTGACTGCAAGTTGAATCCTGTAATTCAAGATATGCAGTGAAAGCTTTGAATACTAATAAAGACTGATATTAAGATGACAAAACATCCATACCCTAGCTGTGTTTTACCAATGCCCGGCACTCCACCTAAAAAGTTTTTAGAAGATGGATATGAGATCCTGGAAGAGAACTTTTTTATGCTAATAAACAAAGTAGAAAACAGTAACTAACCGATTTCAGTTACTTCTTTGCAGTTAATGCCTCCACCAAGGATGTTATCCAGATCTGCACAAGAAGTAGTAATGCGTCGAAGCAACTGCTCCTCGTGGAGCATGTCCCATGCTGTCTGTGCACCTACAGGCAGGAAGCCACGACATAACTTTTAGCTTAGTTAGGAAGTCATACAATTTTTCCCAAGATTTATCCCTTTTTTCAGAAAAAACAAAAGTGACGAGCAGATTGTCAATTTTCAAGTTTTTTTATTGTTGTTTGGAATCAAATGCATTTTAGTTTTTTATCAAGATAATGCATTGATGACACAGAAACAAATACAGTTAACTTCAATAGCAAAAAACAGAAGTAAATATTCAAATATCCCTATCATAATGAATGCTGTTCTGGGAGATAGTAACGCAAGCACCCAACCAGTATGACTGCATCTTTACGTTGATATATACAATGAAGAAATTAATGGTGTAAAATTTAAGTATGATACGAATCTAACTTAATGATGGTATGCAAGAAGGGAATTTCACTTTTGCACCAAGGGACTCTCATGAGCGTCCTAATGAACCATATGCTGTAAAGAGAGAGTAAAAGATCGGAAATTTCAAATGAGTCAATTTCTAATACGTTACTCAATTTTCCCGTAACAATAACAACTGGTAAAGACAGAACATAAGACACAAAAAAGAGAGAGTGATTACCATTAAAAATAGCGTGGCCTCCATCCGTCCTGTCTAGCCTACTATTAAGTGATGCTACCTTTAGAATCTCAAGAGCTTCACTATTTGTGACATTCAGTTCTGGTATAAAATAAAATTATAAATGGTCAAGAGGGGACCAGAAAACCCCTCGGTATTGAAGAATGGCCAAAATAAATTAGGGTTGATTCTAAATTTGGCCCCTGAAAAATAGAGGTTATCTCACTTTGTCCCTGCAACTCAAAATGGAACAAAACTCAACTCTTCCCCAACCCCCAGTTTGTAACCTTGGTACTTTCAGCATTGGGGCGTCAATTTTCTTAACGCATCTATGGATCATGGGACTGGTTGGCAAAGAGTGACTTTTGAACAGTTTTAATCACGTGTCAGTCACATAACAAGCACAAATAATTAACCAATTAAAAAATGATCCTTCAATAAAGAAAGTACTGAAGTTGTAACTACTGATAATCAACGGGGTGGACTTAAGTCTTATTTGAGTTGCAGGGGCAAAGCAAGACAACTCTAATTTTTTGGGGGCTAATTTTGAAATTAGCCCGATAAATTACCAACAGTAATAAAAAAGACTAGGTATGGACTAGGGGCACGGGCTTCATATTTCCAGGAAACTATTTGAAGAGAAGTTTGTGGCAGAGAGCCATTGGTTATGGAACAGTAACCAAAATCTTCATAAAACCATTTCTGACTATATCTGCAATTGGATCATCCAATATCTGAACAAAAAATACACAGAGATAGCTTACCATTATCTAGATTAAAACATAGGTTCGGATAAACTAAATACCCAGATTCCTTCTTTCCAAAAATATATGTGTGTGTGTGTGTGTGTGTGATCTCGGAAATAAGCAAAATTTCACCCCTAAACATATTTCGTTCCACCTTACAATTTTTTCTCAAGATTGTTATAGAAACCATCATTCGGCACAAAATTGGAGATCCCCTAATCTTTGAAGGCCAAAAAGGCAATAGAAGTTCAAAGAGTAATTACGTCGAACAGTTACGGGAGATCAAATTCATGCAAATGAAGAGCGATAAGATTTGAAGGTAATGAAGAAGATCACCTCGAGCAAGATCGGAGGGAGAGAGCGAAGAAAGGGAAGAGAGAGTGGTATAGCCCGCCCGTATCAGTTTGCCTCGCTGTGACGCTGAGATTGGTAATCTTCCCACTTCCATTTTTTCTGCTTCTCTGCACAGTCTGCAAAGCGACAGAATTGGATTTGGAGGGAAGTTTTCAGGACACTTTACACCAACGCCACAAATTTTAGGCTTAAATTGATATATGCCACTAAATATAAACTATTTAAGAGAATATCATAGTAAAAAATACTTAAAAAAAACATAAAGATTATAAAAATCTTAAATATATACATGAAAATCATAAAATTCTCACAAAATTCAAAGATTATGAATAAAATACACAAAGTATAAATATAATTTTATTCTAGTACACAAAATTTAAATAATGCTATTGTGGTATATTTTATAATAATTTTAGTACACATAGCAAAAATCAATCAAACATTAAAAATCATGGTATATTACCTAAATATCTCCAATTTTATTTTCAAGGCAAATTGGCCACAACTATTAAATATAATAATAATAATAATAATAATAATAATAATAATAATTGCATAATAATTTAGTACACATAGTAAAAGTCAATCCAACATGAAAAATCATGGCATATTACTTAAATATCTCCAATTTTATTTTCAAGGTAAATCGGCTACAACTATTAAATATAATATTAATAATATTAATAATAATAATAATTGCATAATAATAAAATAAAATGTAAATGTTGTCTTTGAATTATGATACGTCTCTAACTTTCTCTTTTGTATTATTCCGTCAAGAGAAATGCTAGCATCACTCTTTTTATCACTCTATTTGTCACTCTCTTGTTTGACACGTAGACTTTACTAGCGTGATATATTATTATTTAAACAGAAAATAAGATAGTAGAGTCCATGTGTCAAAAAGTAAATACAGAAAGTAGTAAAGTGAGTGACAGAAAAAATGATACTAACATTTTTGTTCTGCCAAATATTTTAAACAGAAGTGCACGTGTGGCGCATGTGATAAGAGTAAATGTGTAAATTTAATTAGCCTTGCAACTACTTGACCAAATTAGGGGTTCTACATTATATCACATAAAAAAATTATAGCAAGAAAAACTAAAACTTTTCCTTTTTCTCTTCTGTTGCAGGTGATTTAGGGCTAAAATTCGAGATTGTAAAAGTAATTTTATCATTTTAGGCGAAAAATTTACTACAAAATAGAGAATTCGAGGACCTTTCGAATCAACTTGAGTCTTTATGTGAGAAGTGTTACTCTTCCTATGTTGTTGCTTCCTTCAATTGACATTTCTTTCACCAAATTTGCTACTCTTTTTCCCCTCTTTGTTGCCTCTGAGCATCTCTAATAGTGGTGGAGCCATAATTTTTTTCCGAGAGTAGGGGTGGTATAAACTAAAAATTTTGAACTATACTATAACACAATAGTCTTTGTGTCTTCAAGTATCTATTTGTATCTTTTTTTTTTTTCTAAATGGCCTAAACTTGTAATGGAGTTTAATATTAATTTTTAATGTTTAGAGTTGAAATTTTGTGAATTTATATAATTGTATAGTTTATATTTTATTTATTAGAGATTTTAAGGTTAAAATAAGAGTTCTTAAAAAATAAAAAACTTGGGGTACAATTGAAATGTTTTTAAAAATACCATGTAAATATTGTAACTAAAACAGTTTCAGGGAGGCTATTTAAGGTAAAAAATATAAAAAAATTTAAATGAGTGGCAAAATATAAAAGGAGCTAGCAGGCCAGGGGGCCTCACTTAGCTCCGCCCCTGATTTCTAACCAACAAATATAGGTCTAATTGGCGCCAAACTAATGTTTTGAAGAGAAGGGTATTCAATAAACCCAAAATAAAATACTTAACCAGCCAATTAATACTTTCTCGATAGACTACTCACTCTCTCTTCATTTTTTCAAGTAAATACTGGTTTGAACTTCAACCAGGGTTCAAACCATGAGAATCTTCGAACCACGTTTTGAATCTTATAAATATGTATCGATAAACTACTCATTCTCTCACTCCTCATTTTCACTCAAAACAAATACGAAACAAATCCACTTCACCCCCTAATTGAAAAAACTGAACAACATAAAAGAACATGCAAATGTTGTACAAGAGACAGAAGTTGTCAGAATCTCCGTCGCTGCCATTCTCTGCCTCTCATCCTCTTCTTCCTTCGTCGTTGGCCACTCGCAGCCTTACTCACGTTAAGGAGCTCTCCATCATCGTCCCCGCTCTTCGCAACGTCGTCTCTAGTAATGACTTCGCCTCTGCCACCGCGAAATTCCTCCAATTCCCACCCTTTGCAGATGACATAATCAACGATGCTGGTGTTATACCACGGTCGAGGAATCGACCGTTCCTTTAAGCGGCAAGCGCCGAGGCCTCCCCGTTGAGAATCGGTCGCTGACGTCAAGGGGACGGATGTACCTAGGGTGCCCTTTAAACGTTGAGAGTTCGCATATGGATAACGCACGTCGAGAGCCCCGTTCGACTGGCGAGGGCCACGACGTCGAGGTAGCAGCCCAGTCCAATCCGCTGTCAGCCCAGAGAAAGATACACTATACCACCTACCTCTACTGTCGGGGTCAGGAAATCAAGTAGTCGGTAAGGGTTGATAACCTGACCAGGAAGCAGTAATCATGGAAATCCGACTACCAAATCCCAGAATTAAGGCATTGATGATGATCTCCTCGGGAATGCAAAGGGGCCTCTCATTTGTACAAGGCCTATAAATAGAGCCATGGGAGTTCATTAAGTTTTTTAGACACACGAATATACTACTCCAAAAAGAGTTTGTAATCAAGAAAGCATTAGTGTGTTCACGAGTGGATTAGGCAAAGAATATTAGCTGAACCACTATAACTTCATGTCTTCTTTATCTTATGCACCATTATTAATCCTTAATAAACACATGAGAGATTATTGTGAGTGTTCTCGGAGAGGTAATCCCTTGTTGACTGAAACCACCGTCAACAATTGGCGCTAGAAGAAGGGCCGCGAACCCAGAAATCAATCCAGCAGAGTGAATTTGGCTCCGAGAAATACCCGCAGCGCGACGGTAACTCAAAAGAGCCAGGAGGGCCAGAGCCATGCCGCCAGAGGAAGGAATCCGACGAATCCACCCAACGGCGGTTAAGAACCAGCAGGGACACGGCCCAACTGAGGGGCGTAACCACAGGCCGCTGGAAACTCCCCAGACCGCCTTGACCAGCTTCAAAGGCAGGTTGAAACACTGGCTGTGGTTGTAGAAAGGATGGCCACAACCCTTGTCGAACGGGAACAAAGGCTAGATCCCATGCCGCCGTTAGAGGATATGCCGATGAACCCGGTGAACGCCGCCGTCAGGAACCAAATAATTGGTGACCAACGTGGTGACGCCGATGGGGGCGGTGATAGTGGGGCCAACAACCCTCATCCAGCCAGGTCGAATAGATCTATGGGGAGCAGACAACGAACGGCCAGGAGGAGAGCCCAGGAGAGGGCCGAGGCCCAAACAGCGAATGACCGAGAAGTACCGCCTCGACCACAGGAGAACGTAAACTGAAGGAATGCGCTCCCGGTAGAATCCTCAATTGTTCGTGGAGGTGACCTGAGGGTACGACTGAACGCTCGACGTGACTGAGACGTACAACAGACCAGGGAAGAAGAGCTTGCGGCCAAGAAGATGGCTAGACTAGAAAAGCAGATAGGGAGTCAGTGGAACAACTTTGAACAAGTTGTAAGGAAGGTGGCCGAGGCCGTGAACGTCGACGCCAAGATGTACATGTCACATGACCACCCCTTCACAGAAAGCATCATCCAGGTATCATTGCCTGATAAGTACAAGCCACCACCTATCTCCCTATGTGATGGGAGGAGTGACCCGGACGACCACCTGGAAGTCTACATGGGGCACATGGTCCTACATGGATACCCCGAGGAGGTCATGTGCCGTGCATTCAGAAATCATCTTTCTGACTCTGTCAGGAGGTAGTTTAGGTCCCTAAAACTGAACTCCATAACCAGCTGGGATGACTTGAAGAACGCCTTCCTAACTCAATTCATAGGTGTCAAAAAGTACATCCCACCGAAGCAAAACCTGTCAAGGGTGTACCAGGGACCAAACAAGTCCCTAAAAGATTGGATAGCCCTATTTGGGGAACAAGTGGCTGCCACCGAGGGGATCACGATGAGGTAGCTTTGATGGGGGCCCTATCAAGCATGAAGAATGACATCCCGTACAGCATGGACCTCGACCGGAGACCACCCCAGACCTACTAAGATTTCCGGGCAAAGGCCCAGGGATTCATTAACGCAGAAGAGGCCAAGAATGCCTTAAAAAGCAAGGTGGTGGCTCCCACCAAAGAAGAGGTGGGACAGCCGAGCCAGCAAAACAACGGTAAAAAGTGCCGAGCTAATCCTCAGGTGCAGACCGAACAAAGGTACAACCCGGCCCCATACAACAAAGGTGGAAACGCCTTGATGGGGTAGGGGACACCAAGTGCGCCAAGCCACAAAAGTACGACGCCTACACCCCATTAACCATGGGGATTGAGGACGTCTATCACGAGATCAGTCACTACCAGGTACTGCGTCGCCCACCGCCTTTGAAGTCTGACCTAGCACGGAGGAACCAAAACAAGTATTGCAGGTTCCACGGCGAGAGTGGACACATGACCAACGAATGTTTCGACATATGGAATAAGGTCGAGAGGTTAATCCGGGAGGGGAGGCTCAATGAGTACCGAGCCAACTGGTGGGGCAACAACAATCGGAGGAACAACGATTGACGGGAGGATCAAAGGCAAGATCAACGGCAAAGATAAGGATGATCTTTGGAGGGCCGTACCTTGGCGGCGCCTCTCGCCGCGCACATAAAGAATACGCGAGAGAAGCGGAGGAAAAATTCAACCAAAGGATCATGAGTGTGTCCGGCAGGGAGTCAAAGGCCGCGAGGTTTGAAGAGGCCAAGATAGCGTTTTCAGAAGCTGACGCAAACGGGGTGCACTTCCCCCAAAGTGACGCTCTAGTGGTGGAGGCCATGATCGGTAACCACACGGCTTGCCGTATCCTGGTGGACAACGGCAGCTCAGTGGACATCCTGTACGCTGATTGCCTCGACAAGATAGGGATCCCTCAGGCGAGACTGCAGAACAGCCCGCAACCACTGTATGGCTTCACAGGGGATTGCG